AGCTCCTGGGGGCCCGTTCTTTCATCCAGAAAGCTGTGATGGGCACGCCAGCCTCCATACCCTGCCATCTACAAGACACGGGCAGACTCACTTCTACGAAACCATCTTTTTCGAGCCCTCTGGAAGAACGGAGCTGACGATCCCTCACTACCTCTGTTTGTAAAGTGCATCTCCACCATCTCTGCATTTCGAGATTCTGAGCAAGAAGAGAAAGTGCGGTTTCCCCCTCGTTCCAGATCTGGGCTTTGATTCTTGGAGAAAGTTAAAAACAGCTGTCAAACTCAGCTAGAACTGACTTCCTTCTCTGCAGGATTCCATGTCTTTCGAAGTGAAAAGACTTTAAAACATCTTGCTTGCCATCACGACTACAAATGTCAAATATTCCAAACGGGGGGAAAAAAATTAAGCTTCAGAATCTCCCACCTATTTGCACACTGAGTCGTGGGTAACCGGTCGGGATGCTGGGATTGACTTCACTGCCATCTGAACAGAGAGTCTTACTGGGCTGAGGCTAGACTTAATAATAATTATGCCTTTTCTTTGTGTGTAACACTCTACATTTTCAAAATGCATTTATCTATACTGTTTTATTAGATTTTTTTAAAAATCCCATGAGATGAAAAGCAAGTCTTATTTTTTTTTTTTCAGCACCTTTGACAAATGAAAAAAAAAGAAGGCTGAGGGATGTCAAAGACATTTGGCCGGCTGGTGGGGCTCCCCAGCTCCTGCCCAGCCTTGGTTCTAATACCAACTGCCAGCAGGAATGAGGTTATTCCAAAAGATACCACAACCTTCCATGGAAAAAACGCTCAGTTTTCTCCAACACTTACAAATAGGAACTTGTTTTTCAGATCCAGCCAAAGGCCAGCTGTAATTTTAGCCATTCCTCTGAAACTAGTTTGCATGGAAATTCAGAACAATATTTCCAGGAGAATTATTTACTATAATCACCTCTACGCACCTCAAACCACCCCCCATCCCCTCCCCTGCACACACATATAATACTGCCCCTGGCAGGAAGGAAAAAAAGGTAAGTCTTTCCCCATCCCCAAAAAGTCTTTGTTCCTTGTTGCTGTGAACCCCCAAAGTGGGCTTTCAAGGGAACCCCCACCCCCCCGGGGCTGGGAGAGATGGCACCTGAGCAGACCGCTCTCTCCCAATTTATGGCCAGTGCCCCAAAGTAGTAAAAAACATCAGATGAGACAGAGGGAAATATAGACCCTGGAAAAAAAATTGCCTTAATGAAAATTATTTATCTAGCTTTTTTTTCCCCCCTCTCTTTTGGAAGGGGACAGGATCGGCTGTGTTTACAAAACCTGGTGAGTTTTTAAAGCTATTGTTTAGTTAATGGCTGCTGACACCAGCCACAGAGGTGCTGGGTCTCTTTCTCAATGTAAAGATTCTCAAGGAGAACCCAAGGTGACGCTAATAGCAGCTGTCAACCCACAGAGAGGTAATTATAAAGCCGTGATGAAAACAAAACAAAACCTTCAAATGTTATAGCCTTCTTCACAGAGACACCAGGTGACGGGATACAGAGAAGACAGAACACCGGCCCCCTCCACAGAAGCCCCTGGAAGGATAAGGACCAAACTGGAATCCCTACTGGACCCAGCCGCAGAAACGCTCACCCCGGGAGCAACCCCACGGGGATGCCGGCCCACCCACACGCCCAGGGGACTGCGGGAGCCCAGCTGGGAGCACGGGGTTAGGGCACTGCTTCCCCAAGCCAGCTGCCCAGTAGGGGGAAACGGGGACATAATCAAAGTGTACCAACTTCCTGGGGGCGCCTGGGTGGCTCAGTGGGTTAAAGCCTCTGCCTTTGGCTCAGGTCATGATCTCAGGGTCCTGGGATCGACCCCCGAATCGGGCTCTCTGCTCAGCGGGGAGCCTGCTTCCCCCTCTCTCTATGCCTGCCTCTCTGCCTATTGTGATCTCTGTCTGTCAAATAAATAAATAAAATCTTTAAAAAAAAAAAAAGTGTACCAACTTCCAATGAGAAGATCTACAAATTCTGGGGACCTAATGTATGGCCTCGCAATTACAGCTAATAAATCTATATTATCTACTCGAATGTTGCTATGAGAATAAAACGCAATACAAAAAAAAATGGTAGTTATGTGATGGGACGGGGGAGTTCACTAAGGCTATGGGGGTGATTGCTTTGCAAGACAGAAATGGATCAAATCAACACATTGTACACCTTCAACTCACACAAGGCTCTATGTCGGTTATGCGGCAGTAAAGCTGAGGCAGGAGAATAGAAAGGAAAGACAGCACCCTGGGCCCTGCCCTATACCAATGGAATCAAAATCCCTGGGGGTAAGGCCCTGACATCAGTATTTCTTTCCGTCTCCCCAGAAGATGCTGAGGCAGAGTGAGTGGAGAAACATGAAGGAGGGAAGAGAAAACAAGACGGGAAGCTTGACCTGGGGGCACCTTCTCCTCAAGGCCCAGAAACTGAAGCGCTTAAGTATTCTCAGACGAGTTAGTCCTCCATCCTTCCGCTGGAGGGAGAACGGAGACCTTCCACAGCTAGAAGCTGTATGCCCAGCCCCGAGAGCATCTTCAGGAGGCAGAGCTCCCGGCTGCGCATACAGCCGAGCGAAGGATGGGGGCTCGGTTCAGACCTACTCCCCACCCCCCATGCTCCATCTTCATTGGTCACCACTGGCCACCCGTGAGGCCTCCTTCTCACAGGCCCAGGCTAATATGTTGTTTTCCCTTTGCTTTAGAAGTGATATGTGGGGGGCGCCTGGGTGGCTCAGTCAGTAAACTGTCCAACTCCTGATTTCACCTCAGGTCACAATCTCAGGGGCATAAGATCGAGCCCCCTGTCGTGCCCCAAGCTCAGCGGGAGTCTTCTTGAGATTCTCTCTCTCTCTCAAATAAATAAATCTTAAAAAAAAAAAAAAATTAATGATGTGAGAAACCTTTTGAGACTGAAATTTCCTAAGGTTCCCCACACCCTTGCCCCAGAACAAGAACCACCCAGCCCCTCCCCAGTGGGGTTGGGCCAGAGGCGTTGCCCACAGAGCCCAGCTGCCCAGAGACTAGATTTAAACTTAAAACAGTGAAGGAAAACAGAACCTTGCAGATTTATTTGCTTTTCAGCTGTTCTAGCTGTATTAAACACCTCCACCCAGGAGGGTGGGTCTGGAGCACAGGGGGTGGGAAGCTTCCATCTTGGGGAAGATGCACTTGGAAGACAGGACGATGACTTTGAGCTTCGTCTCTGCTTTCAAAACCCCTGCCAGACTCTGTGCCCTTGGTTTCCTACAGGTTCTAGGATCTTGACAAGCAGAAAATGTCCGTCTCCCCACCCAACCCAAAAAGTCTGCCCAGACTCCAAGCAAACACAATTAATTAAATTGTGTAAAACTTCATAAACGTTTAAAAATCAGCCTCTTGGGCATCGCTGATGATCCCCTATCTAGCAGGCCTTTAACCTGGTTCAGTCAGAATCAGCTGGGAAGCCCCTGCTGGGGTCACAATTAGTGAGAAGCGGCTCCTGCTGTGGCTAGAATTACTCAAAGTCACACTTCAGCCACCTATTAAAAGCTCAAATCCCAGGATGATGGTGCTATACCCCAGCTCACCCCAGGGCATTGGGAGGGTGGGGGACCCGGCCTGGCTGCACCTGGCAACACAGGCAAGGTGAAAAAGTGGCTTTCTCGGGGCCCCTGGGTGGCTCAGTGGGTTAAGCCTCTGTCTTCGGCTCAGGTCATGGTATCAGGGTCCTGGGATCAAGCCCCACATCAGGCTCTCTGCTCAGCGGGAAGTCTGCTTACCCCCTTTCTCTGCCTGCCTCTCTGCCTACTTGTGATCTCTCTCTCTGTCAAATAAATAAATAAAATCTTAAAAAAAGGAAGAAAGAAAGAAAGAAAGAAAGAAAGAAAGGAAGGAAGGAAGAAAGAAAGAAAGACGTGGCTTTCTCAGCCAGGGGTACCCATGAACTTGGAAATATGGGAGTTGATTTGGAGCTCCTTGGCATCTCTGGGTCATCCTCCTCGGGAGATGGTCACACCAGTGATGTGGAAGTGATATACTGCGGGGTGACAGTGGAGGGGGTCCACTGGTGGGGTCTGCCAGAAAACTTGCTGGCAGGGAGCTGGGGTCTCACAGCCTCGGCTATGCGGATCTGCCCCAGAGTGTTGTTACGGATCTGGCTGGGTTCCTTGGCTAGCACGCGGCCTCTGCCCCTTTGACCTTCACCTTACCCTTGTGTTTGAGGTCATGAGTAGACCTCTAATTCTGCCTGGTCACACCATAGTCAACCAACCACTGGCCCCAGGCAAAGCAAAACCAACTCTACTGTGTCTAGAGCGACAGCCCAAGCTGTCCCCGTCTTCCTGTAGGACTCCATTTCTCCGGCTGCCGCACCCATGGGCAACACCTTCCCTCAGTTTGCTCGTGTTCTGGCACATCCTGAGTCCAGCACACCCCTCCAGCTTCGTGATCCAGCCCAAGGGGAGGGGGCACCTGTGCAATCCCAGAGCTCCCATGTGACCTCTGCAGGTCCTGCAGCTTCCCGTTCCAGCCAAGTGCTTTCACGTCTGGGGTCTCAAGTGTGAAGCTTCATCTAGTCCTCTGCAGAAGTGACCAGAATGCCGGCTTCCAGAGAAGGCTTTCAGTAACGCGACTGTCAAACTCTCCCTGGGAAGATTTTGTTAAGGCAGAAGGATGACCCTGGAGACGGTTGTTCTGCTCACCTTGAATCAGCCTCATTAACAGCTGGACTGGATTTGAACAGCCAACTCACGGTCTCCGGGTAGTAGAGGGCTGGCCCCAGCCTCTGTGGATGGGGACCATCCCCACACACGGTCTGCAACATCGGGTCTGTGCTACACTCTTCATCCCGAACTCATCCTCCCATGCCACCCGCCACTGGTTCTGCTGTTGTCTCATTTCCTTTGTGACAAACCTAGTTATTAAAATATTCTCTGAGGTTAAAAAAGTGCAAGATAATAAAACCTTAGAAAAATAAGTACTTCCTTTATTTCTACTTCAAAATATACTATGTACATCTGGAACTCTAAGAGAAAGTAGACCGGGAGATGATTCTATCATAAAAAGAAAATAAGGTAAAAAAATAACAACTGCCCCTTTCAGATCTGTCTTTAACCCAGCTGAAAGGGGCGTGAGCTGCCCGTTGTCGTGCTCTCCGATGCCATCCCTCTGTCGGTGACGTTGGTTGGGGCTGCCTCACAGGGATGCTGCGTCTAAGAGTCCCTGGAGCGTTTCAAGGACCGGCTGTGGCTGGCCAGTAGCCAGGTCCTGCAGCCGGGAGCCCATCTGCTCCTGGAGGCTCCGGGACAGCCGGTGCGCCACCCTGCGGACGTTCCCACCGTGCCCAGGCAGGACACTGTTCCTGGTCATGTTGCTCAGGAAACACCAGAGGACTGGAAGGACATGGCGCTCCACAGCCTGGGGCTTCTGGGGGTACACGGAGGCCACTAGCGCTGTTGGACAGAAAACGGGGAGACTTACTTGAGGCAGGCACTCTCTCCCTCTCCTGCTGCCCTCTCTTGGGACACCAACTCTATCCCTAAAAAGGTCAGGCAGCCCAGAAGAGCCAACTGGTCCATTAGACGCACCAGCTAGGGCTCGGGACACATTTTGGGGCCTATGAAAATGGTTGTATTTCTTTTAAAATCAAAAGAAAAAAAATGGGAAGATATCCAACCTTGTTTATATTCATGTTTATACCAACCAGTTATAAAATACAATTTTTAACTTGTTTTTGTTTTTTAACGGAGGAACGAGTATGCAAAGGCCAAAGTGCTCAGGGCCCATGACGGCCGTCATTGGTCCCTGCAGCCCAGGGGAGAGGACAGAGGCGGACACACTTGGACTGGACTGCAATCTAGCATTCCTTTAACCCACGTTCCCACCTACATGAGTTCATACGAACAGAGAAAACCCGGACCAGGGAGAAAAGTCAACACTCTCTCAAATGAAGCATTCTGAAAAATAAAGCAGCCAGCAGGAGACAAGACCAGTGTGGCCTCCCCAGGGTCTGGATGCCAAGCTCCACAACGAGACCAGCAGCAATGCGGGAAGGATGAATGTGCTTTGTCAACCACCAAGCTCTGCACAGACCCTCGATTCAGTCATGAACCCCCCCACCTCTGGTTCTCCCAGGCCCTCTACCTTCTTTAATCCCCAGAAAACCCACACGCAGGCTACCCCAGCAAGCAAGGCTTCCATTGCCGAGTAAATGCCGGGGTCAAAGTCAAAGAGTGACCCCAAGTCGTTTCCCAGGGCCACTCCAGCCTTCAGCCATGCCAACAATGCTTGCTCTGTACGCTGAGCGCCATCCGCCTGTCCTCCTGCCGAGGAAGTGCTGAGGAGAGCAAACGACCTTTACTTGTTGATGAGGCAAAGAAACTGGAAGGTTTCCTGGGCGGAGAGATGCACCAAGGAAGCTAAGACCTCCGGAATCCCAAGGCTGGGGCTCAGAGCTTTGCAGCGTGACTCCACTGTCCTCACAGCGCCTTGAGAGGCAGGATACTGGTCCATCTTGCAGAGGGGGCAGCCAGTGCTCAGGGGTCAAGGAACTTGCCCCAGACCACACAGCTAACAAGGGCTGAGGCCAAGCCTGCCTCAACTCCAAGGCTCATGCTCTGCCCCCCTTGTTGCCCCCAAGCCTCCAGGGGTTCCACATGTCAGACGCTGGTGTGGAGTTTTACTTTTAGCAAAACCTCCAATGTGTCCTTCCTTCACCAGCATAACATCCTCCAACACCCCCAGGATGCTTCCCCAGGGCCCCTCGGACTCCAGGCCCAGGCTGGGACAACAGGGGGCCAGAGAAGGTCAGCAGCCTTCAGCGAAGCCTGCACTGGAGCAGTGTCCTTGCCCGTGGAGTGCGCACACTGGCTTTCTAGCCACACCCTCAGGATTCCTGCACCCCACACCGTGGGGCCTCTCGGGGGCTCCCCAATGTCACCAAACCCTCAGAAGTAAAGGTGGCCCTTGTTCCCAGGGAAGACAGGTTGGCACCCGGGGAGTCAGCCCAGCCGTGATGGCTGGTGAGCCGCTTCATAACGCGCGCGGGGCAGAGCTGGGAGCTGCGGGAAACGCTGAAGCTGGAGGAGGGCTAGGTAGCGGGAAAGCCAGCAGGGCGCCCCAAGGGCTGGGGTAGGAGGTGAGGAGGAGCCAGGGATGTGGGGGGGGGAGGTGCTGGCCAGAGGGAACAAAAGAAAACCAGCAATCCTGACCAGCAGCCTACAGTGAACAGCTATAACTCAAAGCCTTCCTAAACCTCCATGGGATCTCAGCTGCGAACCAAGGGGAGAACTATCCCAGAACCAGGCCCAGGCAGGGCTCCCCCGTGCCCACCAAAGGGTGAGGGGTTCACCTGCCCCTAACCCACCCCACCTCACCACCCCCGTGCCCGCACGCTGCCCTCCCACCTGAACGCCCCCCTCCCGGCAGCCAGGCGGCCACACGCAGTCAGGCCTGAGGTTCCCCGGGTCCAGCAGCCGAGGTCACCTGGCTGACAGCGGTGGGCTTCTCTAATTAGCAGAGGCAGTTGATGGCCCTTCTGGGAGTCCTCATGAGGAGGAAAACCCCATTAAATTGGAGCTTACAAGGCAGCTGAGGTAATTAGCAAAAGATTTACTCCCGTTAAGCTGCGCTATTATTAGTGCACACCTTGTGTCAATTGAAAGGCTCTTCTCGACTCCTGGCTGACACCCACTCACTGGGAGAGCTACGGAGAAACTCTTGCCTTTGAGGTCTCTTGGAAACAGGTGGAAAATTCTTACATTTACGTGGATAATCTAAAGTGAGGTACCCATCCACCTCTAAGGCCCACACACAACCTGTACAAGGACAGGTAAGGGTTTCACCCAGAGAGTGCAGATTTTGAGCAACAGTAAAGGGTTCCTTGTCTGGTGCCCCGGGGTCTCAGTTATGTGGCCTCTGCCCCTCCCCGTTGCTCATGCTCTTCTCACTCTTTCTCTCTCGCTCAATAAATAAAATCTTTTTTTAAGGGGATAATCCGAGAACCCACACCATCCTTATGATGTTGTGAGGATGAAATGACCCAGTGCCTACGACTGGGCAGGGGGAAGGAGCAGAGCCTGGAGAGCCACAGGCCACGTGGGCCACTCCAAGGAGCCTGAACACAAGCTTGAAGACAACCCATGCAAGGATTTATGCGTGGGGGTGACACCACCTGTCTGCCTGTTAGGGGGAGGGGCACTCAGAGTCTAGAGAACAGAGTCCTTCTGCCTCCTTCCTGGATGGGACCTTCCCAAGAACGGGAGGCAGGAAAGATGAGAAAGCCGGGTTAAGTAACCTGCCCAAGACCAGAGTTCACGTGCGGCAAATGGGTCTGTCCGCCATGAAGCCTGTGTCCATCCCATCTCACCCCCCTCAAGGGCCACAGGAGGTTTCAGGCCTGGAATAAAATCACTCCAGACTGCAAACTCAGAGCAGACATCAGCTCAAGCTTTCTTCAGCCAAAGCCTGAACAAAGCAGAGCAGACTCGGGCCAGAGCCCCAGGCCTGCACCGCACGGATCTGGGCGCCTGGCAAAGGGGCCAGGTAGGGCTGGCATCCAGGCTGTGCCCTGCTTTGAGGGCTGTGCACACCCAAGAAAGGGCAGCGCTCATGCTCACCATGGGGCTGCCGCTGACCAAGCCCCACACCCGTAAGCCAGGGTCCACCCAGAAGAGCTGAGGATTTTTCTGATTCACACAAAGGTACCCTATGGGCTAGCCGAAGTCCTGTTTGCAAAGAAGTGCATCCTCGTTTCTTAAAAACTGTTTTGTGTATGTACCAACCTGCCCCATTTCGGTCCAAACCAAAGATTATCTTCTGGTAATGTGGGAATTATTTTTTAAAAAGCAGATTAGAGAAAATTTTTAAAAGGCCTGTGAGGATTATTGGATTATTTGGGGGCATCTAAGAGACTGGGTGGTTCAGCTCCATGCCAGGAGGCTGACTAGAAGGCTGGGGCAAGAGGCTTCGGGGACGCTCACCGGACAGACGATCTGTGACATCAAGAACCGAGCGGCCACTCAGGAAGCGCACCCGCCCAGCAAACACTTGTAGGAGGCAGAGATTGTCTGGAAGAGAAGGAGGGTGTCAGTGGCCATGATGCTGTGGCCCAAGCGACGGTCCCTACCCACACAGGGAAGGAGGTCCGTCATGGAGCTGCATTAAATTCTCTGGGTCACAGTGGGGTGTCTGGGGACCCGTGAGTGGCCCGGGACAGTTGCCCTGGCTCCCAAACGGGTTTCACTTACTCCCACAGGTCTGGTTCCTACTGTCTGTCCTTCCTCAAAATTGCTGAGTTTGGGGGCAAAACAGGGCTTGCCCACAGTCTTGGGCAAACCAGGAGGCTGGTCACCCTTCCAGCAGCAGAAGCTTCTGGTGGGCTCTGTTTGGGTAGGAGGAGGACATTCGCAGGGGGCATGTGTTAGCTCTCAATAGTTTATATGTAACCTCCCTGCGTGAGACTTGGGTCCAGACCGCATCCTTGTAAGGACAAGAAAGTTTACCCTCCACATGCCTCAACCCCACGCTTCAGGAGGGTTGGGGGAAAGATGGATTTTTACCCCCTTTTTTTTAAATTGTCACCACACCCCGACCCCCACCCGGCACTCAGACACACCCAGTCCCAGGAGCCAGCTCTCCCTGCTGCTCAGCCTAAGGCCTGGGGATGTCCCCACTCCGATGTTGAAGAAGCGCTTACTACAATGAACCACCGATGGTGAAACCACAGGCAACTAGGGTGGGGGATGATGAAGCCCCCTGGCATTCTTGGATTGTATTTCTAAAGCCAACTCCAGCAGGATCCCATAGGTGCTGAACTTAGGAACGACTCCTTCTTCCCCGTTCTGGCTGATGTCTTTTGGTTTCTCAAACGATTGCACTTGAAGTCCCGCATTCCTCACAGAGACATACAAGGTGAGGAAAGCAGCTCTTTACCTAGGGAAGGCAAGATCACCTAGAGGATATACACCCACTCCTGACGCTGCCACTGCCATCCCCGCACAACTCCATGGGAGTGAGTTCAAGTAATAAAACCACTTTTCAGGGATGTGGCCGTGGGGCCTCCCCACACCTGTCATGGAGGTCTGTGTGGGCGTTACCACAGATGCCCCCCCGGAAAGTGTGTCCTAGGACCCCAGGGGCTGACCCACTCAAGGCCAGGTGTCTCTCAGCAGGATACAGAGATTAGAGACCCACCTGAGGAAGCCTTTCCAGGCAAATTCCCCCTTCTCTGGATCCCTCAAATATCTCAGCATCCCCCTGGATTTGCAATTAAACTTCCCTTTTCCTGCCAGGCAACAATTCTAGCTAAGAGCTCATCCCTACTTCCCTTGTTCTCCTCCTGAGAGCTGTAAGGAGCACAGAGGAGAAAAATGTCCCCGTGTACACCACATACATCCCTGCTGCTTGCAAAAGTGCCATCCACAGGGAGCCACGGAGTGGCTCAGTCGGTTAAGCGTCTGCCTTCAGCTCAGGTCATGATCTCAGGGTCCTGGGATCGAACCCTGCGTCGGGCTCCCTGCTCACCAGTGAGTCTGTTTCTTCCTCTCCCTCTGCCCCTTTGCCTGCTTATCCTCTCTCTCTCTCTCTCAAAAAAAGAAAGAAAAAAGGAAAGAAAGAAAGAAAGAAAAGAAAAGAAAAAAAGCATCATCCATAAGTTAGGCAATAGACTTTAAAATAATTTGTTCTGGGAAAGAAAAGGAAGGCCAGACTCTAGAATATTGCAGTCAGCAGGAAGCAGTCTCAGGGTGCCTTGGTAAATCTGTAATTATGTAAGAATAGGTTTTTACATCAACATCACCTGCATTATTTTTTTCCAGGTGCTTCTATTTGTCCCACGCCCATCATTAGCCACAAGCTCGCCCCTAAGGACAAGGACTTCTGCCTCCTTGCTTTCCCCAACAACACTCAGTCCAGAACATTTTCTGGACACAGATGGATCTCCCGCCTCCTGGTGGCTGCTGTGGCCTCGCAGAGCCAGAGGGAAGTGGAGAACTTGGGGACTACTTGAAAATGCACATCCAGCAGACATCTGTGCCAGACCGTGCTCCCATGTGCCTGGCACACAACAAGTGCTCAATAAATGCTCCAGGACTATAGGGAGTGTTAAAGCAGAGACATTAAGCATGCCCGAGCTCGTTTATAAACCCCAGAGCTTCACGCCCCGAGTTACTGGCCTCTCTCCCTCTGCCTGCTTCTGCAGTGATGGCTTGCTTCCAGGTCACACCCAGGTTTAATGGGTGGCGGGAAAGCATACGGTGAGGGGTGTGGGCTCTGGGTCCGGGTCGCCTGGACTGAATCCTTGGCTCTTCCATATTTCTCTGTGTTGACATTGGACAAAACCTCTACCTTCGTTTACCCATCTAAAAAAGATGCTAATATGCATATCTTCCTCCTAGAGCTGTTCTCATGTCATGATGCTTCGGATAGTGCCCTGAGTATAATTACTATGTAAGTATGAGTTACTGTTGCCCCTGTTTACTATTATTTCCCCAAAATGCTCCCAAAGCCCAGCAACCTGAATGGTGGAAAGACCATTAAGAGGCACATACTGCATGGAGCACTGGGTGTAGCACATAAACAATGAATCTTGGAGCACCGAAAAATAAAATAAAATTTTTTTAAAAAGAGGGCTGGAATCTAACTTCAGAAACCTTAAAAATCCATGCTATGTTTGCCCAGCTTTTTCATGGGCTCCTCTTCTTTGCCCCAAGGGAACAAGAGCTGGCCTTGGTGCTGCCCACACACAAGGACAAGCAAAGCCATGAGACCTTGGGAAAACAGCCACGCCTTGCAGGCCACACACCCTGTCTTCCCTGAGCCTTGCCTTCCCTCTCTGCAAGTGGGGAGAGGTCTACAGGGCCTCCCACCTGCCCCATGCAGCCAAGCCCTACAGCCACCAGGCCACATCATCCTCAGGCTCGTGGGAAGCCAGAGAAGAACTTTTAAAAGAGTAAAAATTATGGTAGCGTGGATAGTGACAGCAAAGAAACTGGGGTCCAAGTGGACCCCTGGTAATAAGCACAGGACTCTGAATCTGTCACACAGCCGCCAAAAGTAGGTCCACTCACTGCAGGAGAAGTGGAAACGATCTATTTAAACAGAAAAATGCAAACTAAGGCCTAGGCATGGGCCAGAGCTGTTCAAAGTGACTCAAGTGTGTAATCATATGTAAATGCTTGCGCTCTGCTTTTTTTAAAGCAGGATGCAAATTTAAACGTGTGATATCATCACGACTCGACACAAATAGGCACAGAAAAAATATCTGAAATGAAAAGTGCCAAACGTTAATAATGGTCTCTCCCAGAAGTTGAGACTGAAGATGAGGGCCTTTCAAATTTTTCCTTCCCAGTGCTTTGTATGTTCCATTTTCTCAGTCATGAACAAGTATGACTTTTACGTGGTGGAAAACAAACTTTCTATTTCTAAGCTAAGTAGGAAGTCTGCATGGTAGCATGAAAAACTGGTTAGTTAAATGAAAGAAGCAAAGTCTAAATTGTATTTACATTCCAATCTTTAACCAGGGAAATGTGTACACATGTAGACAAGAAAGAAAAGAGAGATTTTTAAACAGCTGGTACACTAGAGGGGCATCATGGATGAATTTCTAAATTCCCTGAACAATACCATGCTGGTCATATGATTTGTATAAGATAATGAATTCAGAGACAGCAGAGCAAATTAGCAAAAGTAGATCTGAAGCTGCCCATTTCCGAGCTTATCTGCTCTCTCCAGCACTGGTGGAGGGCTGCACTAAATTAAGAGAACTCCTTTTGATGCTCAGTCTGACCAGGAGGGGGTGGGCTGTCAGCAGCCTGAAGTTTTAATTAGTGACGTTTCTTCTGTAGCTAACCTGGTAACAGGGCCCAAAGACAGAACCAGCCAGTCTGCTCAGGAAATGTCTTGATCCCCAGAATAACTCCCCTGAAATCAGAAGATCTTGGTGCTGAGTAGAAAGGATGCCCCTCCCGGCCCCTTTCTGGAGAGGCTCCCAGGCAGGCAGTAATGAAGGGCACAGGTCAGGGAGCAAGGTACCCACATATCTCCTTCCTTACCATGTCCCAAAAATGGGATGTGGGCAGAAATCCCCACCTGCTCTGTGGACCACGACACCACCTGCCCCATAAACCTCGGGAAGACCACGGAACTGGAAGAGATGGGGTGGCTGATGAGTCATCTTATCCAGAATCAAGAGGGACCGTAAGAGCTCGCCTAGAAAGCCAACCTCATGATTTGGCTGTGACATCTGGACTTTGTGCCAGAAGTTGGACTACCCTGGCTGTGTTCCTGATCCCCATGGCCCCCATTGAGTGGGGAACAAACCATGGCGTGCTGAGCCATTCCTTTGTGACTCTCCACATTGAAGATTTCACAGCTTTCCATGGTTCCTCTCCAGTCTGGAGCTGGAATCCCTTGAGGCGGATGACACTAGGCTTGAGAGAAACTCCCTCTGCTCAAAGGGCTCCAAGCCACTTCCAGGAGGGGCCTCAGGAGGCTGAGGGTAGACTGGAGCCACTAGGCTCCTTTTGGGTGAAATGGGAAGAAAGATTTACACCCCTTCTCTTCTGCCACTGCTACCCCAATCTCTGCTTCTACCACCCAATCCCCTGGGACACTGGGAAGTTTAGTGACTTAATCCATTTCTCCTTCTGCAGATCAGACTCAGATCATTCCAGGCAGATGAGAACCATTCCCAGAGAGAGCCTGATTCTACCCTAGGTACTCCTTGGCAGTGATGGTACTTCCTGGCAATCTAAACCCCTCCACTTCTGCTCTTCATGGATACATAAACCAGCAAGTCACTTCATAGTTTAAAAACACTTCCAGGGGCACCCAGGTGGCTCAGTCAGCTAAGTGTCTGCCTTTGGCTCGGGTCGTGATCCCAGGGTCCTAGGAGCTCCCTGGTCCCGGCGGGGGGGGGGGGTGTCCTGCTCAGTGGGGAGTCTGCTTCTCCCTCTCCCTCTGCCATCCACCCCCTCCATATACTCATGCTCTCACTTGCAAATAAATAAATAAGATCTTAAGAAAAAAAAAAACTTCCAAAACCCAGGTGGCTCATTGGGTGGAGTGGATATGGCTCAGAGCACAGCCACGTGGCCCCAAGAGCCCACTGCAACACCTCCTCAAAACAACCAAGAGCCAAGACCCTGTGCTTTACCCTCTGGGCCCCACAGGTGCTTTTTGCCAGGGATTTACTGGGCTCCCTCCAACACTTTGAGGCCAACAACATTCCACTGCAGCCTAATACTGACCTAAGGAGTAGAGAGGAAAACAGTGCCCCTCCTGCCTGCCTCCATTCTCCCCACATCAGATCCTCTGGCTGAGGGTCCAGAGGGGGCATCGTCAGCCATTTCCAAGGAGATCCTGTCCCAGGAGGAAGGGACAAATCAAGGCATCTTCCTGGAAGCCACAGCCTAACTCAAGGTGTGGACAGATCCCCAAAGCAGGCTAGCCCCAGACCCCCTTTCCAGGGCGGCCAGCCCAGGTGGGTACAGCAGGGCCCAGGTAGGGAAGGCCCAAGTCCTGTGACAACGTGAGACACCAGATTCTGCAGCCCAAAACTCCAGAGCTCCAGCGTGCTCTAGGATGGTGGCCCAGTGGCAGAAATTGGAACCCCTAACACCGGAGAAGGAAGGGTTAAAAGTGCCTCGCCCCAACAAGGGTGCTTAGCTTCTTCAAACAGTTAAAGCCTGTTTTGCTTGGTGCAGGTTTTCCCAATAAATCCAGGGCCTGCAATGATTTACCAAGAGCCTTGGTTATTGGCAACAGCAATCTCACTTACCCAGAGCAACACTGAGAACAAGCCGTAATTTAAAGCTGGATTTATATTGTTTGTTCTACAGCAACAAACTCAGCAAATCATAAATTCCCTTTGAGATGAAGAGAGGAAATTGACAGTATTTATGAACTCTGAAAGGCAGAGAAGGGCCTGACCAGGCCTTTGGTTTGTAACTAAAGCTGCTTCTGGAAGCTTCAGCCAAGGACACAGCTGCCATCCAGCCCCAGGGAGCTGGGTTCCTGCAGGGGCGTGGGCGCTGGGAGGGGAGGGGTGCCTGGCAAGGTTCGCAGCCTCACCACGGGGATGCCCTGTGGGTCCTAAAGGCAGGATGTGGCTCTGTGCTCATTGGGACACACGGCAACAAGGCCAACATGGGCGGTTCTCAGATGTGAGAACCTTACATCGTGGCAAGGGGGGTTTTTGAAAACTCAGGGTCACTCTGGTCTGGACACGACTGCTCGTGTGCTATGTCCCATGTGCACCTGCACTTTGGCCTGTGTCCTAGACATACCAAGTATCACCTTCTGAGCAGCTAAGAAAGAAATGAAGAGCAAAAGTAGATGCTCCCAAATCCCACCTAATAATGTTGGAGAACCAAGATGTGTTAGTGCGAAGCACACAGGATCTGAGAAGCTCTCGCCGTTCCTCACGTCTCCCCCCCAGCTCACTCCTTTTTCCCTTTTCATTCCACCCCCAACCCTCACCACCTATTCCTCACCCAGATTCCTCCCACCCTGAGCCCTGGCCCCAAACAGTCTTCCTCAAAGACAGCTCTCATCTGTTCCACGCTCAAAAGCCAATGGGATCCCAGCCCGATCCCTATACCAGACATTCAAGGTGGCCCACCTGCCCGTCCACTCTGTCCTCTCCAGCAGGCTTGCTCTGCTGTGAGGACAGAAGCCACCCCCACGGCTATCATCCCTATGTCTAAAAGCACCACTGGCGACACCTCCAGCTTCTTCCCTGAAATCTGCACTTATTTTTCCTTCAGTGTTCGGTTGGCTCCATCACTGCGAGACTGTGTGACCCTGGGGAAGTCATTTCTGTCACATGTACTATGAGAAGGGAAGACGAGATCGTCTACACGTCTCCTCCACACTGCCATCTAGGACACCTGGGTGGATGTGACATGGGAAAGCCTGCCAGCCAGGTCCTGGGCTGCCCACCCCTGTCCTATGTAGACTTCAGAGAAACATTTGGCCTGAGAGCCCCCAGTGCCTATCTGCACTCTGCTGATTCCCAGCAGGAAGGGTGAGCTCAGGGAGAGAGGCTGCTCCTACCGGAGCCAAGCAGGGCTGAGGCGGGAGGCTCACCCAGATTCTCAATCATGGCGTCCAGCACCGTCACCGCGGCGGCATAAATCCCTGAGTTCTTGGAGTTGAGGTTGTCTGCAACAGCAACGATGATGGAGAGCAGCATGGGGTGTAAGCTTTCTTTGAGGAGGGGGATCATCTTGGCAAAGGACTCCAGGGCCCACTGGTTCACTTTCTTGTTGGAATCCTGAAGCCTTGGGGTGAAAGCATCAAAAACCTATTGAGGGAACAGAAACCAAGAGCCCGTGGGAACCCAGGCTGGGCAGGAAGCCCATGACCCCACTAGCCACCCTCGGCAGGGATTCCTCCTGCCTCCCCGACAGGGTCATCCAGCCTGTACCAGAACATTCTCAGTGATGAGGAGCTCAAAAGGGAAGGAGGGCAAGAGGGGAAGAACCACCACGTACTGAGCATTCATTGCATCGAAGCCTCTAGAACATCTCGTTAGGGGTTCCCTGCACTCTGGTGGAATGATCTTAACCGTGAGGCATGTGTTCCCATCCCCAGCTTACCATTTAAAACAAAGCAAAAACTGAGGCAGAAAGAGGGTAAGTGATTTGCCCTGGATTGCACAGCTTAGTAGGGAACTTGGAAGGACGCCCCGGTCTGCTAACTTCAGGCCCGTGTCCGAACTACTGTGCTACATGGCTTAACAATCCTCAGCCTCGATCCTGGAAGAAGCAAGCATCTGGCCGGCCTCCCAGCCCACCTGCCCAACCATCCTGGCCCCATCGCCTGGCAACCACATACTCCACCACCCAGCATATCATGCGCCTGGCTGGATCAGGAGCAGCCGTCAACCGTGGCATCCTCTACCTCTACCCTCCTTGCTACAACTGTGCTGAAGGGATGAGAAATGCCCAAGACATCTCTGGGTGATCCCAGGTGCCTGGCAGGAGGCAGGGCCTTTGCCCCCTCGGCTGCTTCCAGACAATCTCAAAGCGTTACCAAGGCGACTAGATAGCAGGTGCACCTGGAGGCATCTGGCACCATGTCCCACTCTGTCCTGAGTTTTCCAGATTGAAGCTGCACCCCCAGGAGAGAGACGGGACAGCTCTCACCTGGACCAGATTGGCGGTGATGAGCTCTGGCGTGGTCTTGCAGTGCTCGAGAAGCCGTCCCACGCCTTCCATCCGAGACTGGTACTCTTTGGCCTCCAGCAGCCTCGTCAGCTCCCGAAGCTTCTCCGCCACCTGGAGGCCACTGCGCACGGAGGAGCGTAGCCCCGCCAGCCGCGGGCCGTTGGAGCTGAGCCTGTGGGGAAGGGACTTCTGACCCAGGCAGACCCAGAGGATGTCTGTGCCTCTTGTCCCATGCTCCTCCCACAGAAGGTGAGACCAGACAAGAGTGTCACCTGCAGCTTGGCCCACCCCCAGCTTCTCCACCTGCCGCTTGAGGACTCCGGCCCTGGAACTCTGGAAATCCCCTTTCCTCCGGGGACAACAACAAGCTTGTCCAGAGCCCTGTCCTTTTGCCAGGGGACAGGGTTCTCTCTTCCTGCCTTTTTTCTCTTTTCAGAAAACACATGAAGCGGGGGGCTGCTGGTGTGGGAGTGAGAGGTGGGAGTCCACCGAAGGGTGACCACACATTTAAGCTAAGAGTGAGGGAGGATTTCACCACGTGCCTTTATCCTGATCCCCAGTTACCTCAGCCTGTTCATACTTCTCCAGGGACCAGGGAAAGGTTATGCCCTATTCTCTCCCGCTGAGAGCACACATCTACCACAGCCTCTGGCCCAGTCCAGCCAGCAAGAGAGCGGTTCCATAAAGGACGCCTACCCCCCACAACCAGCTCAGAACCTGGCTCTTCGAGCACGTGGCCTACATGGCAAGTCCCCTCTGACAGAGCCCAACATCAACCATGCTGTCATGCATGCCTCCAGTCCCCGCGGCGTGCCCACTGAGTGCCAAGAGCTGTCGTGGGCACTGAGGACAAGTGAGGTGAGAGACACATTCTTTGCCTTAAGGCGCTCTCAGACCAACAGAGGCAGGTAAGCCCAGGGGGCTGACAGAGGACTGAAGAACAGAGCACAGAGTGTCAGAGACAGCCTCTGGGGGAAGGCGACAGTGATGTGAGTCTTGGGGAATCCTGCAGAATAAATAGGCATGTTCTGGGTGCAGGCGGTGTAGCATAAGCAAAGGGAGACTGTGTGTAGGGGCGAGAGCAGGAAGCTAACCTCGAGCAGGTGGTGGGGGCTTCCCTGGGCGCCTGCTAAGGTGTTCAGAGGGGTCCTCCCCGAGCACCAGAGAAGAATTTTGAGTTTCAGGCACATCGGTGACCACGGAGGTTCTGCTTGGTTTCTGCTCCTCCCAGCACACATCCTCCAGCCTCTCTGCCCGTTCCCTGCATCCGCCTTGTCCCAACTCTGCCTCTAAATTCACCCCAGGCCGCACTGATGGCCATAGGATGTGTGTGCAGCTCCAAGTGGGCGGAGAAGCGCTGAGCTCAGGCAGGGAGCCTGGCCGGCAGCGCGCCCGCACCGACTAACGGCATTGCTCCCACTCCGCAGGACTGCAGAAACCAGCCTCTGCTGGCAAGTGCCTCCCAACCCAGGATTTGGTATCCCTGAGACCAAATTCACCGATGAGTGCTGCAGACCCAACTAGGTCTCCGCCGTAGCCCAGATCCACAGAGACTCCCAGAGGCACCCCTGGCCCAGGGCCAGCGGGCCATCTCTGTCGGCAGCCTTGGATGTGGAGCCCCAGAGAGACAAGAGCAGCCATACCCGTCCTCGCCGCGCAGCCCGTTCTCACTCAGCACCAGACTCCTCGACACCTTGCGGCCCTTGGCAGATGGAAGTCCGTCACTATCTTCTAGTCCCTGGAGAAAGGCACACGGAACATGAGCCACAGGGGTGGCCCTCTGGGGAACTGCCGGCCACCCCGGGCTAGACCACAGCAAGAGCTTCTGAGGGCACAAGTGAGCATTCCAGACCACTGGTAGTCACGGCAGGGGTCAAGATCCCCATTTAACGGGGGACAGTGTGGACGCCCAGGATGGCTCAAGGCACAATGGCAGAGAGGGACAGAGCCAGGTCCAAGCACAGGCGAAGGAAATCACCCTTATCCCATCTGGCTGGAATCTCTGGAATGCACAGCCCACTCCCCTGACCGGCTCAGCTCTGACCTCCCCCACACCCCACACCCCCCCCTACCTGCTCAAGCCACCAACTCACCCGCTGCTTAATAGCCACCATGACCTTCCGCAGGTCGTGAGACGGGAGGCTCTGCTTCAGAAAGGCATCAAACTTCGTATTCGACATCAAGATATTCACCATCTTGCGGCCATAAAACCTGCCACAGGAGAAAGAGAGGGATGAAGAAACAGCCATAGAAGTGCATCATAAATCCGCTTTACAGATTTACAGAGGTTTTGTAATTGTAGTAAAAGAGTTTTTTAATACTTTTTCTAATTAAGACAATAATTGCTAATTAAGACAGTTAAAAACTAGATACATAAAGGAATAAACATCATCCATAACCCCATTACCAAGAGAAAACCACTATTAATTTTTATTAATTATTAATTAAATTAATTAAAAGTTATTAATTTTTACACATTTTCTTGTAGCCTTTTTGATGCATAAATATTTTTGTTGATACCAGAACGTACATATAACTTGCCTCTGGCTTTTTTTCACTTCATCATTCATCATCTTCCCATGTCATCCTTTTTAGTGGATTTATTCCATTAGATGACTATACCAAGATGTACTTAACTTCTTCTAGTATGGGGCATCTAGAAGTCTGAGGAAGGGGGCAAGGGGGCACTATGGGAGAGAGTGATCAGCTCCACATAGCAAACAGCAGTGGCTGGGGGAGGAAATCAAAGAGGGCTTCATAGAACAGGTGACCCTTACATTGGAACTTGAAAGAGGAGTAGGAGTTCCCAAGTGGGATGGGATCGGGGAGTAAGGGGGTGGAGGTGGGGGTTCATTCCAGGGTCTGCAAGATAATCCGACACGTTGGCAAGTGTGTGTTTGGAAAACAGCAGGCAGGGCCTGGATGTGAGAGAGGAAAGGGAGAAGGTATGACCCAATTTCTGGAAATGTGAAGAAGCTGGGCTTTAACGTGCAGATAGTGGGAAGCTGTGGAATGACCAGATTCGCACTTTAGTGAAAATGTCTCTGACAGCAGGTGGGGGGCCAGGAGACCTGCTAAGAGGCCACCAGGATAGTCCAGGCAAGAGAGGATGAAGTCCTGAAATCAGACTATAGTGTGGGAGGAAGAACAGGAGGTCAGACTCAGGACCTACTAAGAAAGTGGAAACTGCAGGGCTTGGTAGCTGAGTGAAGCAGGAAGCATATATCTACGTCATATTTCCCTCAACCCAAGACTCCATTGATTATAAAATGCACCGTTGATTTATTTTCCCCTGAGGAAAAACAGAAATAGAAAGCACTGGCAATTTCCATTGCATTCAATGACACTGCCCCATTGCGAAGACAACACTTTCGTGTATCATCTCAGAAACAGAGATAACGTCACTCGTGGGCAGTGCCCCTCCTTCCTTAGGCTGGCTAATCTACTTGGTGGTTGCCCGGTAAGGAAGTGCAGAATTTTGGTTGTTCCTTCTGTGACTATTTGCATTAATATCGAATTTACATCCCATCACTCTGGTTCTGTGCCTCTTCTCATACACTGTAACTTTTCATTTCAATGCCGAAGAATAGCGTAATATTTCTGAGGCATTTTAGGGAGTAATTAAACTCAACAAGTCCCACAGAGCATCCACAGTGACTTCTTAAAATAAATATAAAAGACTAACGAGCAAAGAAAGGCTCCTAGTTTAGTTTCTATGATGCAAACTTCAATTTGAAGGTTTATGCTATGAGCAGTAATGACTGGGTTTGAGAATGTGCAGAGAGTAAAACCCAAATCAAAACTGCTTCATGGCCAGCAGCCACTGTGAGACGCTCTGATTGTAAGATATTAAAACGTGGGGGGAATTGTGTGTCTTAGAATCAACGAAGTATGAAGGTCCCTGCTCTGCATCTTAGATGACTCAGTAAATAACAGTGACTTTTAACAGTGGAAGGAACACAGCCAGAGAAACAGGCTTGGGGAGAAGGCAGTGGGTTCATTTAGGGAAACTCTGCACCGAAGATGACAGTGGGACATTTGATAGCAGGGACGGGTCCTCCAGAGGCCTTAGAGGAGAAGCACTGATGCTCAGAGAAGGGGTGGGCTGGAGGGAGACCCTACGGAAGCATCAGAGTTGCCGTGGCCGGGGCCACAAAGTGGTAACAGTACTCAGGGAAAGTTGTAAGAGGAGGACAAGAATGAAGACAGTCCTGTGGCCATCTACATCCGGAGGGCAGGCAGGCAGAGAGGCGGCCACAGAGAAAGAGAGGAACTAGGGACGGTAGGGCCACGGATACTGGAAGCACAGGTGCCAAGAAGGAAAGTGGAATGTCGTCAACACCAGCAAAGTGACAGGTCAGACTGGAGGGGGACACTCCAGCTGGAGAGACAGTAGATCTCGATGTCCATCCCCCTCCCAACAACTACAAAGAAATCAAGCAGGACCTTCTAGTTCCCCACCAATGTTCCTCATTTCAGTAAATGACACTGTCATTTACCCACTTGTTCAGTTTAAAAGCCCAAGCATCATCTTTGATTTCTCTTTGAAATCCTCACCACCCACATCCTGTTGGCTCTGCCTTCAGAAGACACCCCATTCCAGCTCTCCCCTCCCTTCTGCTAGCCTCCAGCACCCCTGGCAGGGACGGGAGAGTCACCATCTGTCTGGTGTCCCTTCTCCCTCCTGGTCCCCTCCCTGACTATCAATCCTCTAATGAGCCACAAGAAAGATTTTTTTTTTTTTTTTAAATCAAGAAGGCAGCAAACATTCAAAGACACACAAACTCTAGGGGCAGCTGGGTGGCTCAGTCATTAAACGTCTGCCTTCAGCTCAGGTCATGATCCTGGGGTCCTGGGATCGAGCCCCACACTGGGCTCCCTCGTCTGCAGGAAGCCACTTCTCCCTCTCCCACTCTCACTCCTGCTGCTTGGATTTCCTCTCTAGCTGTCTCTCTCTGCCAAATAAATAAATAAATAAATAAAAATCTTTTAAAAAGAAAAGAAAAGAAAAAAAGACGCACAAACTCTAGTAACCAGGGGGAAGAAACACTCAGAAATCATAATGAGCTGGCACTTTTACCCATTGGATCAATAAAAATCAGAACTCCCGACACTGTAAGGTCGCTCGGGTTCGGGCCCTGGCCTAGCAGGAGGGGTGCGGCGAGCTCAAGAGTTCCCCATGATGCTCAGGCCACTTAGTAGGACACAGGCCCCTGACCTCAGTCCTGCCCCAAGGAATACACCCAGGGATTCTTCCTGGGCTCCGCCAGGGAGCACACGTGTGAGCACAGCTGCTGTGGGGAGAGCGCCCCTGGGCCGGTGTGGAAGCCCAGCAGGCAAGGGGGACATGCCCCCGAGGAGCACTACCGGATGCCATGAGGCTGTAGTGTCCCGGGAACTGATGGGTGTAATTGACTGGACCGTAACCCTAGCTTTCCAAGACTGTTGACCAGGTTCCAGCACTCTCCTGCTTCACACTGTTGAACATCTCCTCGTACTCCTACTGAATGAAGATCCTCTCTGGTGGCTTCTGGTCACACCCCAGCCAAATCCTCCCTCCTGAACGCAGCCCAAGGGGCCCTGCCCGGCTGAGCCCTGCCCTGTCCCACGCATCGCCTATCTGCTCTGCGGCACTCGCCGGGTGCCATGCAGCCCCACCTTCCTCCTCCCAGAGCCCCGAGCATGCTCCCATCCAGGGGGGCCTTTGTACATCTCCTTTGCTGGGACCCTCGCACCCCAGACCCCCAGTGAGCTGGCTCCTGCTCGCCCACCTGCTCTCAACTCCAATGTCACTCCTCCGGAGGATCTCCCCTGACTCTCAATCACAGTCCCTGTCACCCCATTCTCCACCGTGGTGCTCTTCTCTCTAAGAGACCCCTTATCTCTCTCTCTGAAATGATCCTAATAATTTATTTGTTTATTATCTGTCCACCCCACCTAGGGTAGCAGAGGCCTAATCCTTATTCCCTGCACTGTCCGTAATAAGGAAGCATGATCAGCTCACTACCCTTGAAAAGAATGAATGGCCTTTCAGAGGATGGAGCTGAGGCGGGTCAGGAACCAAGTGAGAGCAGCGGCGACAGAGGGAGAACCAGAGGCGGGCAGTGTTGGCCATTCCTCTATGCCAGCAGAGAAAGATGGATGGCGGCCATAAGGGAAGGACACAGCTGCGGTCTGTCTGATTGTCCCTCCCATGGCCACACCAAACTGGGCGGGGCCCTTGGGGCTGGCTGGTCACCTTACATGACCTGGGCTGGCAGGTAGGAGCCCCCGGACCCCTGAGCCCGCATCACCTGGTGTCCTGGTTGGAGTCCTGGGCCAGCCTCACCAGGTTGTGCACCAGCATCTCTGTGCTGTCCCTGGTGCCGGAGAGAAGCTTCTCAGCGCCTATCTGCTCCAGGACGGTTGAGAGGTGCTCAGCAGTGCATTTCCGGACTAAGGGGTTTCGGTGGCTGAAAAAAAAAAATACAATCCCAGTCAAGGGACTGGCTCAGACCAGGAATCGTGGACCTACAATTGTGCCTCCATGCTCCATGCCATGATGGGCTCCAAAATCTCTCATGGGGCCACAGGGGATCTTCTAAGAAAGAGCAGTCATGTCCTAATCACAGAACCCAGGATGACAATGTAAGGATGGGAGAAGGAAGAAGGAGCTCCTACAGCCTCGTGGTGCTCGGCACACACACAGGTGCTCACCACCTCTGGGCCTTCCTGAGCCTGTGTTTGCCTTCCCCAACTTTTCTCCACCCAGAAAGATCCTATCCAACCCCCATCTCCTTCTCTGCCCTCCCCAGCCCCCTCGGCAGAATGTTACTTGGGGCTAGTGCTGTCCTGGTCCCCTGAGAAGTACAGGTGTGCCCCTGGGGCTCCCCGGCAGGCAAGGAGCTCCTGGAGAGCTGGCACCAAGATTCCTTCCCTACCCCGTGGAATCCTGTGCCCTGTGGGTGCCAGGCACAAGCCCACACTTAGTGGGAGCTAACTGCGTTTGTTGAAGTGAACTGAGACGGGAAGGAGAGACAGGGGATCCATGGGTGATATGGTAACCCTAACAGGAAGAACCTGAAATCTTACAAGAGAAACCCATCAGAATGTCACTTGTTTCTTTTTCACCCCTTTCAACAGTTCATTAGACACCTGACCCTGCTTCTTGCAACAATGATCAGTTGCCTCAGCTTGTAATGAGCATAGCCTCAGAGCCAGGCGCCCGGCCAAACACCCCCATCTGCCAGCTGTTCGACCCCACATGCCACTGTTAGTGTCATTTTTGCAGGTGAGGAAGCTGAGTAAAGGGAGGAATCCAGAAAAAAAGTACAGTTAATTTCTCCCCAGTTAGTGGCAGCCACAGTCAACGGTCCATAAATGTTACAGTAAAAGCAGGCACAGCTCTTAGTGCCCTTTCATGAAGCAATTCATTTACTCCTCACACTTGGAGGAGGAATGCACCCCTATCATTCCCATTTTACAGATGATGAAACTGAGTCCAGAGTTCAGTAACAATCCAGGATGTGAACCCAGGCCACGTGACTCCAGAGCCCCTCACCCTTCCCACTGGGCTGCAGGGCAGCTAGAGAAGTCTGGCCAGCTGCTGTCACGTGCCCTGGGGTCTTTCCCAGAAGCCTCCTGCATCTGTATCACGACTGCCTCTGGGGTGTGGTGGTGTGGCCCCGTGGGATAAAGGCTTTGGGAAATGGTTTTGGTTTTCCTTTAGTTTGGGTTTTTCAACAAGGTGAAAGCAAATCTGGCTGCAGAAAGGTTCCCTCAGTAGGCCAGCACCTTCCTCCTCCCCAGAAAAAGGCCAAGAGGTGTGAGCTAGAGCGAGATTGTGGGCCTTGCTCTGCTCACAACCTTGATTTCATCAGAAAGAACGCCCGTCGCCTGAGAGAGGCACATGGGCCGCAGGTGGGCTCTCAGCCCCGTCTCGAGGGATGTCACCACGGACGCTCTGAACTCCCCAGCCTTGAACAGAACACAGCGCTCTCCCCTTGCAGCTGAGGCTTAGGGCTGCCCCGAGCTCGACTCCTTATCCCCAACCCGGCTTAAGAAAGGTGGGAGAGAAGCACACCAGGAAGCAGGGGTTTTCCTCCCCGCCAGCCACATGTGTGAGGACCCGCCCCATTTGCCTGCTCCTCTCCCAGCCCCAGACCTCTCCTCATGCCTTACCTTCCCAACCCACCCCTCTGACAACAAGCCACCACATACTAGATGCCTGCAGAGGTAAGGGCCACCAGAGAGCGGGCGGGGGTCACGTTCTCCACCATGGCCCCCAGGGAGCGGTTGGCAGCTCTCTGAATGAACTCGCTGGTGTTCCCCATCTTCTGAAGCAGGCAACGAGCGATCTCTTCAGCCTCCTGGTCCATGTTCTTCTTCAAGGCCCGGAAGAGGGCCCCTAGGGTGCTGATGGCCAGGCGGGACACTTTGGAACGGAGGTTGGTGACCTAGGAAAGAGATGGGACAGGGAGCATCCAGGACTGCTGGACCTTGCCAAGGGCTCCAGAACATCTAAGAAAGGACCACATCCCCAAGGTCTCCTGCCGCCGCCGCCCTCCCTGCAGGCCAAGGCCTCGCCGGACTGGAAACAAAGTCATGCAGTAGCTCTGGACAAAATAGTCCCGTTTTTTTAAAAATGCTATTGTCATCACCAGAGTTATTAATTCTACCTGAAATTTAAAATTTGAACATCTGAAATCTGTGCAACATTTTGTCTTCAAAGTATTTTTACAAATAATGTTGGATTTAGTCTTCACAAGCCGCCCCGCGCTCAACCTCATCCCCACCCCTGGAACAATATTCCCAAGAAGGGGCCTGGCCTCCACGTGTGGGAAAATGCATCTCAGTGCCTCTCTGGCTGGTCTAGGTCCCCCGCCCCAGCCCCAGGGGAGAAAATCCTTGGGAAATGTTACAACTTCCTTGAAGCTAGAGATCTAGCCCCAAACATTGCAGCCCCTCTCGTCCGGCATCTGAGTGCAGAGGACAGCACAGGGCTGGGACAAACAGGCTTACAGGACTCTGGCTGTTTCAATGCCCAGAGATTAGAAACAAGGAAACCCCAAGCCCCAGTTTTCCAATCTGAGACATGGGCGGCTACCTCCCACGTCCATGGCTAAGGGCTAAGATATAAGCAGGGGATACCACGTTCTCAGGAGCCATGGCCCCTCCGTGACTGCCGTGTGAACCACACTGAGCAGTGGCACCTGGGAAGGGGGGACTGCCTGCCCTGCAGGGTGGGGACAGCACACAGGACACAGGCTGTCTAGGTGGACTCACCTCTCCAGTCACAGCCAAGGACACGTCGTGTAGCCTCCCAGCAAGGACGTCTGAATGACAGAGCGCCAGGCGCTGGACACTCAGCAGGCCCTTCTCCTTCGTCTGCCTGAGAAGCGAGTTCCAGGCCCGTCACTGGCAGCTGCAGAGGGAGGAGCCCCGCTCCCTGTGCAGACCAGGGGTGCCCCTGCCACCCCTCCCCTGCCACAGGGGAGGCAGGCAGCTGGGGTCAGGAGAAGGGGTCCCCTCACCAGTCGCTGCTCTCCAGGCACTGGAGAGCATCCATCAGCCCCAGCTCAGGGTTCGAGAAAGGCCTCAACTCCTTAAAGGTTCTAGGATCCAACTTTTCCTCTTCTTCCCACTCAGGAGACCCCAAGGTAAGCACCGCAGGTAATGAGTTGGCTGCCCTCACAGAAAAGAAAAGAAACACGGCATGTTTCAGCAGGAAGACTCAGGCCTGGCCTGACACGAGGTGTGCTCAGAGAAGGGACTGGCTGGGGCTGAGAGGGCAGGGTCTGTGCGTCCCCTGCTGCAGAGCCGCAGACACCTTCGAAAGTTCTAGCTCTTTTTGGCCTTTTCCACCCAGCCCTGCCATCCTGATGGTTCTAAACAAGCCCACCTGTGATACGCTGCTTGAGGCCACGTGACAAAGCCCACCATGCCCTATCTGTGGTTGGGTGAGGCTTGTCAGTCTGCAAGGAGGGAACCCCTCTTCACACTGGTGGTGTCCTAACCTCATCCCCACCCAGGAGCCTGTGTTACCGGCTTCTTCTCCTTCCTCCCCACTCTCTATCCTTTGTGAAGTCGCCCACGGGCAAGGCAGGGAAGTGGCCCAAAGGAAGAAGAGGGGGCAGCGAAACCTCGAAAGAGACAACGCGGCTAAGGGGGGGTGCTGTGTGGTCAAGATGTGGCAGGGACTGCCAACAAGCAGGGATGCTGTTTAAAACTCAGGTCATGCTTTCTAGGCTCCCCTTCTATGGGGACAGGTGCTAGAATCATAAAATCCTAGTGGAACAGGAAGGGAGTTTAGCCATCTATCTGCTCCAGTGCCCAAAACACATCATCAAGGCCTCTGAGGCACAGCGGGGTGGGGGTCCCCACCCACAGCCCCTCAGCATCTCCATCACCAGAGCCATGACAACAGGGTCTCCTCTGAACCCAGAGCTATCACTGCCACACCTCGCTTCCTGGCTACTTCTCTTCTCCACCAGCATGAAGGTCCAGGCAGCCCACACAGCAGGTCCTAGGCAGGGCAATCCTTTACTTAAAGCCAAGACCGAACACCTCATTCCCGGATTCTCTTCTCAGCTTTGCCATTGGACAAGAGTCATTAGCCACAATCTTAGGCCCCATGGGCCAACATCACCTTAAGTAAATTCAGGTGACTTTGGGTCTCTGGGTCTCAGTTCTGTTGACTCTAAAATGAGTGGGGTAGATTATACAGACCATTATCTCCTGAGTAGCCACCATTCAATCACCACTTTCACGACCTCTTGCCATGTCTCTTAATTACCTGTAATTTTATTTAATGGCATTTTTCTTCAAGCCAATCCACTTTTCAAAGACTTAAATAAGTTTATCGTAAAGGGATATCTATGTCACTACCATGACTGGCAAACAAATATTATTTGTCAAAGGACAGGATATTTGCAATAGAAGTAAAAGGACTTTATAAACTCCAGTGATCAAATTGTAACCAGCTTCGGATGACTCAAGCTGGAAGGAAGATCTCTTTGTTTAAAAAGCAGATTTCCAAGCCTGAGAGGGCTGCTCACGACTGACACTGAATTCAGACTTTCTACTTGACAGAATCAAAGGGACAGAAAGAGAACGGAAAAGAAGGATGAGTCAGTATTATTTCTGGCACTAAAATGATGTTCTGTTCTCTCACTATAGTCCCACCACGGCCCACGCTTAAAGAAACTCTGAGTCAGACTGGTTGTTTTCAAATGTCCTTTAGTAGCAAAATCTTTCACAACTGAAAGGTCAGGTGGGTGCCCAATATATTAAAAAATGAGGCAAAATCGAAGCTTCTCTGGTAGAATGGGGTCAGAGCCTCTTTGTGCCTTGGCACCATCCCACAGAAATTTTGGATCCTGGGATCCCCAGCGGGAATCAGCCCTATCCAACCCTGGCATTTCACGAGGCAAACTTCAGGAGCCCAAGGTCTTCCCGGACCCCTCTCTTCCTCTTTCCGATGTTTCCAGCCACTTTCGGGAATGCTTCTCCCCGTCATCTCTGGTCCTGGTGCACTAGTGAGGCCTCTAGGACATGTCCTGGGCTGGGCACACCTGCTCTTCTACCAGTAATTCCAGTTGCAATTCCCCAGACCCCCAGTCTGGCCCACTGATACTTTTGACTCCCACACTATCCCTAGTTCTCTGGCAGGGTGATCACACCTCAGGCTGCCGTCTACTCTAACACAGGTAATGGGAAAAAGTAGAGTGGCCCAGGTCACCTTTCCATACTTCAAAGCATCCCAAGGCTGCACAGCGAGACGGACACATGTCCCCCAGCCAGTCAGCTGGGCCCTACCTGAAGCATGGCGGGCAAAGCTGGGCTCCCGCTTGCTGACAGGGATGCTGGGCAGCGAGGCCCGGTTGGCCCGCTTCCTCAGGATACCACCAATGTTTCTGCGTGGGCTGCTCAGCCCCGTGGGCACAGATATGGTCCCACTGCCCCGGAGGGGAAGGAGGCCTGTGGAGACAGAGGAAGTCCTAGAACGGCGCTGGTCCTGCCTGTCCTTGGCCCCAGTCCTCCTCTGGATGTGGGCCCATTAGTGGCTCCCAGTCCACTGTCCAGATGGGTAGCATCAGGAGCTGTGGCTAACCCCTCTCTCATCTAGGGGTTGGCCAAGACATCGCCCCAGCCTGAGGGGATCCTGCCCCTGGGTGCCCAGGTACCTTCCTTCATCAGGACTCTGCGGGAGGCCAGGCTCTGGGAAGCAAGCTCCCTCCTCCTCTCCAGCTCCTCTGCCCTCTGGAGCACCTCCATCTCCTTCATCTGCCTCAGCCGCATCTTCTCCTGGGCAGACTTGGAGATGGTCACCTGGATCTGGCAGAAGGTCAAGGCAAACTCTGTTACCTTGAGGACCCACCGGTGTCTTCTGTACCTGCATTTATTCAATCAGGAGTGTGAGTGGCTCCTACGTGCCATTGCTCTTCTGGGAGTGAACAAAATGACCAAGAACTTGCTCCCAGAAGACTGCCACGGAGCAGGGAGACAGCAAACAGAGCAATTTCTAATGTCAGGCAGTATGTACCAGAAGGAAAGGAGGGACAGAGGGTGACCGGGGCTTCCATTTTAGGTAGGAAGGCCCAGAGGGACTCCCAGAGGAGGGGAAATTGAAGCAGAGACATGGATGGAATAAGGGAGCAGAAGCCATGCAGATTTCTAGAGGAGATGGGTGCTGAGCAGAGGAAAGAGAATGCAAAGGTCCTGAGGCTGGAGGGTGCTGGGTATGGTTGGGGGTGGTGAGGACACTGGCCGGAGCACCCCAAGTCAGAGGATGGGAGGACACGGGGTCAGAGGTGGCAGGGGTGGGCAGAGTCATCGTGCACTGGGCCCCGCGGCCCATGGTGAGGGGTCAGACATGTCCTCTAAAGAACACAGAAAACCACTGATGTTCTGAACACAGGAGTGACCTGATTGGACTTTCACTGGGAGACAAGGGGTCCCTCCAAGTGTTGTTGTTTTATAACTTTATATTTGGGAATAATTTAAGACTCACAAAAAGTTGCAAAACAGAGCCAAGAGTCTCCATGTGGTGGGGCTTGCACTAGCGTAGCGAGAATGAGGATGACAGAAAGGCCTGATTGTGGACAGGTCCCAGAAGTAGAGCTCACCGCTTTTGCTGATATATGAGGTGTGGGGCAACAGAGAAAGAGGAGGCAAGGTCGGGCCCAAGGTTTTTGGCCAGAGTAGCTGGAAGGCTGGAGTGGCCTTTTCTTGCTATTTACTGGGGAAAGAGTTTTTGGGGGTAAAGTTTCAATAGCTGAGTTTTGGATGAGCTAAGTTTGAAATACAATTAGATACCTAAATGGAAATGCAGAGTATCAGTTAATACCTACTTAGTTACAAAATCTGAATGCTCCCGGAGGTCAGGGGAAGGTCAGGGCCAGAGAGGGACATTTGGGAGTCCTCAGAATACAGATGTCACTCAAGGCCATGGACCAGAACAGGTCACAGGGGGTCAGATAAATAGGTAAGAGGCCAGAGATCCGAGCTCTGGGGCCTCCAGCGTGTAGAGGGCAAGAAGATGAGGAGTCAGCTAAGAGGACTGGGAAGGAACAAAATCCGATAGGGGTGAAAAACTAGGAAGGAAGCCATCCCCTCGCCTCCTTCCCAAGGTGGGGACTTCAAGAAGAATGAAACAGCAAAGCTGCTGATGGGGGTGGCAGTTAGAAGAGGGCTGAGCTGTGCTGCTCATGGGAAGCTGGAGGTCATCGGTGGCCTTGACATGGGCAGTTTCCATGAGGGCAGTGGGACCCAAACCTGACTGCAGTGGACTCAGGACAGAATGGGTGGAGACAAAGCAGTCGTTCTGTTTTTTTAGACAAAAGAAATCACAGCTAAGTTGCTGATGGGAATGGTCTGATTCCAGGAAGGATATTGCTGATGCAAGAATGGTTAGAAATGCTGGGGGCCGGGGTGTGGCTGGACGAAGCCAGAAGAACAGGACATGGGTAGTGAGCGAAGGGGGGCTTCAAAGCGAGATGCCAGTGGGGGAGAAGTTATCACAAGGTCCTCGGTCTGACCAAGGTGGGCTGGGAAGTGGGGTAGCCTCCCAGCCCTTAATTGTTCTTCCTTCGTTCCAGGCTCTGATGCCCTGGCTGGAGTAGGAGGGCTGTGATGCCCGGACCTCATCGTCACCGTCCCTGGACCCTAACACAGCACAGGCACCCAGCAGCCCTTCCAGGCATGTTTCCTGTACGCTTCCATCTCCGCTTCAGAGACTGAGCCCGGAGCTCCCACAGCAGTGACTCTTCAAGTGTTAGTAAACACATCCAGACCAGGGAAGAGAATCATCTGGACCAAGGTCACCTTAGAAGCGCAAGGTGTCTGCCAGCCTGTCAAGCAGAGCCTTTGGCTGATCTGCCCGAGTCAGCTGCCTCTCAGTTTCTATCTTGGGTGCTGGTTCAAATTACTGGGCTTGGTTCACCTAAGCTCCTCTCCACTCTCCACATCCTCCTTCCTTCCAAACCTCGGGTGACCTCCTTGTGCCCTCCCTTCCTCCCTCAGCTCCCCTCTATACTCCCCTTCCCCTAGCCCCCACCCCCATCCTTCTCTTCCTCTCTCTTTTTTCTCTTCCTTTCCTCGATCCTCACCCCCAAACCATCTTCAGGTTCCAGTCTTAAGCACCGGGGAGCTGACTCTTTCTTGTCTTCCTCAAACTGGCCCCACATTTATAAATTTCATCAAACAGGTTTGTGCTCAGCCAGTGGTCCAGTCTGACCCCCACTTTCTCCTCCCCTCACTTTCCAGGTACCTTGATACTGCCCTCCTTCTGGTCCTCGTCTTGGAGCGAGGGGTGGGCTTCTTTGGCCTGGCCGAAGGAGAAGGCTGTCAGTGTAGGAGCGGACTGAGATGAAGGCAGGGGGTGCTTCACAGGGGCGGTAGACCTGTCTCTGACAGGCAGGGCTGAAGGTCTTGGCTCTGAGGAGTCAAGAACAAGAATGGAGCTGAGGACACCCAGCACTCTGAAGCAGCTCTCACCCTTCTGGGCTGCCCCTGGGGCTCTGTGACCCTGCGGCTGGTGTAACATTTTACTACTAAGCCTGCCATCCTCTGCTGTTCTGCCCAGTGCGTGCTTGGTGGCAGAAGTCTACAGAACAACACTGCTGGGCATAGAGCGGGCTGCGCGAGGACCAGCGTTCTCTTCTTCTCATGTGTGCACCCATCCATCCACCCATATACCCATTCGTTCAACAATTACTGCACACCTTATCGTAAGATAGGGAAGGGAGGAGACTGGGCAAGAAACAGGGGGTGGGCTGTTACCTAGAAGTTTAAGATAGCTCCTGAGGATGTCAGTCTGTCTTACCTGAGAGGCGTGCACCTCAGGAAGAGAGAAAATAAACCAAGCCCCATCATCACACAGTATGGAAGGACCAGAGAACTAATCAATGCTGGTCCCATCCCCTCGTTTTACTGATAGAGAAGACCCAGCAACCTTCACACGCTCTTGTAACTGGTACAGTATTCATTTCCAAGTGACATAAAATCAATAGTATCTCTTAGTCACTCTAGATTTTCCTAATCAATAGACTTCAAAAGCAGCTTCTCTTATTATGGAGGCAGGAAAGGGGTAGATCAGCTTTCTTTCAATGAAAAAAGTGTTAACTGGGTTCTCCTGTTCACAGTGTTTGGAGCACACTGCTCTTGGGTGAACCTGCAAATAAGGGGTCCGCTGGAATGGGGGTCAACCTCTGGGGCTGCGTGAGGTTGGAAGGGACACCTCGAATCTGGGACTTCCAGGAGGGCTCCCAGGTTACTCTGACCTCTGCCCAGCCCATGCCTTCTGCCAAGGATCCCTCTGCTTCGATCGCTGGAGAAAGATGGAGGGCCAAGATAGAGGAGGGGTAAAGGCCTCGTTTGCTCAAAAATAAGGGGGCAGGGCAGAGGACACAGGTGCTCAGGTGCCAGCTAATGAGGACAAGGACTGCAGGAATGCCACAAGACTGAGGAAGCCCCCAGCTTCAGAAAATACCACGTGAGCTCCTTCTGTGTGGTAGGCGTGTTACACGTACTGGGCCATGTTATCCCCAGTTAATGGCTGGAAGATCAGAGAGCCCTTTAAGGACTTCACTATTGTGCATCCCCTCTCCTCACCCCCAACTCCATGAGACATCCTGGAAAGCCTTGTCTGAGCAGCCTGGCCCCTGCCCCCAAGCCCCCAGGGACCTGGTTCTCAAGCAGCATGATGAGATGCAAACAAGGTGATGCAAACAAGGGAACAGTTACAAACTGGGGTCTCTTGGCACACTCAGGGGTAGCCGTTAGGGACACTGTGGTTGTCAGCATGGGTCACACCAGACCGCCCGAGGTCACCCCACTGCAGCCCAGCCAGACAGCAGCAGGGGAAGCGGCCGCCCCCGAGGTTTCTATGCCAGGCCTGCCTCTTGAGCTCAGCTCAAGTGCTGAGCCTGGGGCTTCCTGGGCCACCGCCTCCCCCTCACCAACCAGCCCACTTGCTAAGCCAGAGGGACCTGCTGGAAAGCTGGACTGGGCGTGGGCCCCCGCCTGCCGGTCTGCACGGCCACTGAGGTATCCTCCTCCCCAGCCTTGGGGTGCTCCATCCAGATCCCCTCACCCAACCCAGGGCTCAGCTTCCCTCCTCCCCACAGTTAGGTCGTCAGGCCCCTCTCGCAGCTGGGTTACCGGGAGGCTCCGTGTGCCGGGACACCTCCGCACGCCTGGCCCAGAGCAGGGGCCGCTGCCCTCCGAGGTGGCAGGGTCCATGGCCTCAGCTTCCCCATCCGTGAAATGAGGAGCTCAGGTCCGAGGGTGCTCACACCTACTCCAACCCTAGTTCTGATCCCCTACCCAGTCCAGGAAGAAAGCAAGTGGGGGTGCTTGTGGGGAGTACGTACCCAGAGATTCAGGGGTCTTCTCCCGAGGCCCACTCTCCCGAGCCAATCTTAAAAGAATGGAGGAGAGAAAAGAACCATGAGAGATGGCAAGTAGGAAGCACTTCATCGAGGAGCAGGGGGGTTCCTGGATGGGACAACAGGCGAGATAGGGGCAATCACGGAGGGGCTGTGGGCGGCTCTGTAAGGAGGCTCTCAGCTCGGAGCTCAAAGCTGCAGGAGATGCAGCTCCATCTGCAAAGTCAAGGGCAGGCTGACAGGAGACCAGACCAGACCAGGCTGGGTCCAGACACACACCACACGTCACTGTCTCTGCCCTGCTCAGGGGTCCGTAGCTTCTCCCCGCCATTCCTGCAGGAGTCTCTGCCCCAGCGTGCACAGCCTTCTCTGGTCACTGAAGTGGCCTTTCTAATGCAGATCTGATGGCACTTCCACGCCAAAGGCCTTCAGTGGCACCTGGCTAGTTCAGGATAAAGATCACGGTTCTCAGTTTAGCCCACGGGGCCATGCAGTCCTACTAACCTCGCCTACCTGTCTCACACCAAAACCAGTGCACACCCCTTATAGCTCCGGGAATGCCTCCTGTCTCTCCCTCCTCATTTCCCAGACTCTCCCTCAGCCTTCAAAACTTGGTTCCGGTCTCACCTCCTCCAAGAAGGCTTCCCAGCCTGATTGAGATCATTTCCCAGCAGGCTCCCCAGAATGATGGGGAGCCTCCTATCTTAGCACTTACCTCACTGGACTTCAGACCAATGGTTTACTAATAAATCTCTCTCATGAGCTCCTAGGACACAGAGACTGTCTTGTTTGGCTTTGTTTCTAAGGAAACTGGCACGTAGCAGGTGCTTAATAGCTCTTGAGTAAGTAAATGGACTCGTGGACGGATGGGTGAATAGTGAAGGGATGAAAGAAATGCTGACGGAGGCTCCTTCCCACCTCCGTGCTAGCCTCCCTGAGTTAATGGAGAGGAATCGTGTCACAACAAGTTGACAAACGGGGAGGTATTTATTGTGTGACTAAACCACACCAGGTACAAGCTTGGCACCGTGGGAGCCACAGAGATTTCGAGGCATGGGCTCTGCCCTGCAGGGCTCGCAGTCGAAGAACAGATGGGGCTTTAAATAAAAGTGTGGTCAGGCGGTCTGTGGGCTAGATGCTGTGTAGACAGCACAAAGGAGGCTCTTCCGGAATCGCCTCCCCAGGGAGGGCAGGGACTGTGTGCAACTGGGGCTTGAGGAACAGTAGGAGCTGAATGGGGGCCCCGGGTTGAAGGCTGGTGTTGGGGCTATGCAGATGGGGCAGGGAGGTTCTGGAGGTGCTGCTCCCGAGGGTAGCACAGGAGGTGTGCGGGGTGGCGGGCCAGGGATGGGCCCTGAATGTCAGACCGGCGAGACTCGTCTTTAAGCTGCTGACACAGGGTGTCAGAAAATGTGGATCGCATGGAGGAGAGGTACACAGGGCAGCGCACAAGAAGGGAAAATGAGAACGCAGAGCCCACACGGCAAGGTGCCGGGCTAGGAGCTGTCGGGGTGCTCAAGAGGGAGCCTGTGAGTGGAAACGGAGAAGGCAGGGGCAAGAGAGGGGTGGCAGCCTTTGTATTTTCTCTTGCTTACGGAAAACCTGATGGGATGTGGCAGTCTGCTGGGCCATGGGGCCACGGGAGCAAGAGCAGAAGACGATGCTGAGATTGGAAGATGGAAGAGAATGCACACACCGTGGGGGGCGTCGGGGGATTGTGGGAAGGAGGCGGTTTGGGGAAACGTGAGGTGGCCCATAGGTGTGGCCGTGATGGTGGCACAGCATCGCTGTCTCCTTCTGACCCCAGATCCACATCGGCCATGAGGACACTGAAGAGGTCCACCAGTGGGATGGACACGTGGAGCCTGACCCTAGGGAGACCTCGGGCCAAAGCAGGGGATGAGGGGATGAGGAAGACACCCATTGTCGGAAGCTACCGGCACAGACAAGACTCCCCCGGGGAGAACACGGAGCGGGCACAGAAGGCTGGGACCAAACCGCAGGAACAGCCACATCTAAGAGATGGATGAAGGAGGGCACGGGGGGCACTGTCTAGAAGGTTCTGCCACCGAAGGTCAAGAAGCAGGTTTCAAGTCAGGAGGGAAGGAAGGAGAAGGCGACAAGCACGTCAACACCTCACAGGATGTGAAGTCAAGCGCAACGAGGGTGGAGTGAAGGCCGCTGGTCTGGGGCTGGAGAATTCCCCCAGCCACCAGGACCACCTCTGAAGGGAGGAAGGGCCCAATATAAGGAAGCAGAGGCCAATGGAGCGGCCACTCAGATCCAGGCCCAGGTCCACGCCCTGCAGGTCTGGGAAGGAGGTAGACATGTGTACAAATAGGGGGGAAGGTAGCATGGGAGATGGAGAGGTGAGGAAGCATGAGAGAAATGGGAGAATTCAGTCCAGCAGGCCCCCAAGGATTGGAGAAGTGAGGCCTCTCTCATCCTCCCTCTGTCTGTCTGTCTCTGTGTCTGCGTCTCTGTCTCTCTCTCACACACATACGCACACACACACACATTCCAGCATCAGTTTGGACTGACCGTGGGGGTGTTCTGGGCCATCTGAAGAGATCTGTCTTCCTTACATGCCATAAATCAAGATTCATTACAGCACGGCAACCCTCTACCCCCATGGTTCGTAAACATCTTTAAGTATGAAAGCCCCTTATTATGCCCAAAACTTTTGTGGACCACTCCCTCCCACTTCCATACCTGTACCTGCTAATGCTCGTATTTTTAGTATCTATTAATTAAGAAAATACATAATAACAAAGAGCTAGCCTGAACAGAGCTCCTATTTTATTCATCACTGAGACAACCACAGACATCCGCAAACTGGTGGACTCCGGAGGCCGAGACACTGTCTTCTGAGCCCAGACACCCAGCCCGCTGGGCTCAAGGATCAGCCCCGTGCGGTCCCCAGGCCTGTGGCCCATGGGTGAGCCAGGCTCTCCATGTGCCCGGCCCCCCAGAGCTCCGCCCTGACACGGAGGCTCAGCTAGATGGAGAGGGGGCTGCTTACCGTGCGCGGGGGGCCCTCAGGCCCGTGAGGAGACCCTGGCCTGGAGGCAAGTGGCTGGGCAGGGAGCCAGGAGTACAGGAGGAGGCCCCAGCGGACACAGCGGCCTTCGGGATGGGCGGGATCACAACGCCCCCCAGAGACTTGTGCATCTTCTCATCATTGCAATGCAAGTATTGTCTGGAGATCTGCACCTGGGAGTGGAGGTTGCGGGGGAAGTTCTGGAGGCCCACGTCCCTGGGCCCTTACACAGGGTGGTCCCTTTTATCAGGAGCCACTGGGGTGGCAGGCAGTGCTGGGAAGTGTCCTCTGGTTTTTCTTCTCAGCCACACCACCCTGGAACCCGCCCCCCCCACCCCACGAAAGCTCATCGTTTCCTTCCCACTCCAAGACAGAAGACCTGCAGCAGGCGGGGTGGGGGAGGGGAGAGGCTCGTCCCTACTCATTTTTGTTATTATTATTTGTTTTTCTATTCTTCTCATTTCAGAAACTTCTACAGATCAGAGCTGAAAGCAATCTTCAAAAACATCTGGTCTAATACCTTCTTTTTATAGATGTGCAAACTAGGCCCAGAGAGGAGGGGGACTGGCCCAAGGTCACACAGCCAGCGAGGGGCAGAGTGCAAACTCAGATCTCCTGAGTTTTAGCCCAGTCAGCTTTCCCTTCTGTCACACTCCCTTGCCTATAATGGGGAGGGTCAGAAGCATGAGGAGTTCCAGAACATTTAGACCAGAGAAGGCCTAGGGAACCCCCAAGTGTGGGACTGGTGGTCACACAGCTGTGCTCAGCCCCTCTGGGGCAGCCTGCCAGAGCTCCCAGGCCATCTGCCAAGGTTTTGGGTGCTGTGGGAAAGATGCTCCCCTCCGTGGCCCCCTTATCCCTGAGGGCAGCTGCTCACACACTTTGGGAGAAGCTCCAGGCTCAGGAACCAGGGTAGGAAGAAATGGAAACAAAGAGGGACCCCTGGTTGGCTCCATTGGTTAAACACCTGCCTTCAGCTCAGGTCATGCTCCCCAGGTCCTGGGTTCAAGCCCTGGGTAGGGCTCCCTGCTCAGCGGGGAGTCTGCTTCTCCCTCTTCCTCTGCCCCTCCCCCAGCTCATGCACTCACGTGCATGCACTCGCTCTCTCTCTCTAATAAATAAATAAAATCTTTACAAAAAAAAAAAGAGTGGAAACAAAGATAAGACAGAAAGGCACAACACAGAACAAACCACCTTACCTCCTGGGCACCAGGTCTCAGCTCCTGGGGACCCTGACTGCTCCCAGGTGGGTCCAGGCCCTTTTCCTTGGCTCCGCTAGCCTCAGGGGTGGTGGGGATGCTCTGGATGGGAGGCATTGGCCTGGGCACCCTCAGCAGCCTCTGAGAGGTGGCCCGGGGGATGGTGCTCCTCAGAGGAACCCCTTTGGGGCCTCCCACAGGATCCAGGGAGGCTGTGTAGGGGGGTGGGGTGAGGAATAAGTTAGTCCCAGGAGTACGGGGAAGGGGGCAATTCAGAAACTGGCAACAGGGCCATAGGTTCCAGGGGAGGCTGGGACTGCGAGAACAGAAAGAGATCCACCACCACCCCCGGGCCCCAACCCCACCACTAGGCTGAGCAGCAGACAGCGCCAAGGACCCGTTCCCATTCCTATAAAATTTGGCAAAAAGGGCCAATCAAAGTCATCTATTTAAAAGTCAGAGGCAGGCTGGGCAGGAAGGACACCAGTCCTAGAGTAGGAGTCAGGACAGTGGGTCCTGGCTAGAAGCTGTGGGACCTTGAGCAAGTCTTTGAATCCACACTTGCTCTTCTGTAAAATGAATGTAATTATGTCATGGGGTTTTTCCAAAGATCGGTGACTTACGTAAAATGCCAAGAAAGTACTGGGCACATGGCAGGTGCCCATAAATTATTTCTGTTCCCTCTTCCTTTCCAGCTAATGATACAGGGGTACTGCTCTTTCGGCACAGGGGACACCCTGACCTAGTCTAAAAGCAGACCACGACACATGGAGCTCTGTCTGCACCCAACAGGCATTCGGTGCCCCCTGCCCACGCCCTCTGGAATAGTGCCATGCGCCCTGCCATCCCCACAGTAAAGAGCTCAGGATTATCTTTGCAATGATTGGTGGCAGTGAAAAAAAACTTAGACTTAGGCCTTTCTGTTCCAGCTACACCTAAGTGGTCGCATGAAAACCACCAAGTCAGGACGCCTGTGTGGCTCAGTGGGTTAAAGCCTCTGCCTTCAGCTCAGGTCAGGTTCCCAGGGTCCTGGGATCGAGCCCCATGTTGCGCTCTCTGCTCAGCGGGGAGCCTGCTTCCCTCCCTCTCTCTCTGCCTGCCTCTTTGCCTGCTTGTGATCTCTGTCTGTCAAATAAATAAATAAAATCTTAAAAAAAAAAAAAAAACACAAAGTCCCAAATAGCTTTTCTGCTCTCCTGGTGAGCCTGGCTCCCCTTTGCCCTCTGGTCAGTCCTGTCGGGGTGTTGAGGGAAGGGAGGAAAGGAGGGGTCACAAGCCAGGTGGAGCTGTCTGGGTAGTGGCACCAAGAGGCCAACACAGCCTCCATTCAGGGTGCAGAGGGCAGCCACAGCCCTGCCCTGGGGACCAGAGATCCCCGTCCTGCCATACTTGCTGAGGGACCCGGTAAGTCAAGATCATTTCCCATCCGCACCTTGCACAGAACAACTCCTATTCCTTTTCTCCTGCACTAGAACTTTGTACAAAGAGATGACGTGTCTAGAGAAATACTTCGGACCTCTCAGGGAGGGAGTCCGTGAACTCCCTTTGGTCTAGGAACTCCAGAAGTTGTACCACTTAGAAATTCTAAGCAAGCTTCTCCAGCATGCTGACACCCTACCTACTGCCTCCATACTGTCCAGCCACAGGGGGACTCCTTACAGGGCCTCCCCGTGTCATCCTGGGCATGGTCACAGCCCCAGGGAGACCTCAGCAGGGGGAGTATCTTACTCAATGGAGAGCATGTCCCCAATGTCCCCACCCTTCCAAAGACCTCGAGCCTTCTTATTCCTGGTGTTACTCAAACATTCACTGAGCTACAGAAAGGACCCAGTTACATGATTGGTCCAGGAGAAGAGGAGAGAGAAAAGGAAATGAAAATTTATTAAGTTCTACCCACAATGCCAGGTGCTGAGAATTCTGTGCACGATATTTTCATCACACTCAGGTACACAGAAGTATAAGTATCTCCATTACACTGAGGGGAAACTGAGGTTGAGGGGGTAACTGACTTGCCCAAAGTCCCAGAGCTGGTCAGTATCAGAGCTAAGATTGGAACATGGCCTGTTTTCCCGGTTTATCCACTACTCAGATGAGAAAGAAATATAAAGTGCCGCTGTTAGGGGCGCCTGGGGGGCTCAGTCCTTAAGAGTCTGCCTTCAGCTCTATCCTGGGATCAAGCCCCACCTCCGGCTCTCCGCTTAGCAGGAAGCCTGTTTCTCCCTCTCCTACTCCCCCTGCTTGTGTTCCCCCTCTTGCTGTCTCTCTCTGTCAAATAAATAAATAAACTCTTTTTTTTTTAAATGCCCACTGTTCAATTCTTGGCTCATCTATTTAACAAGGATTTCAGGAGAATCTCCTTTGCCAGGCAACTCTGCCTCACACTGAAGCCTCCGCAGCCGCCCTCGTGGAGGTTCCGCCAAGTGCAGAATCCCCATGGAAGACAAATAATCACACAAGCAAACACACAAACGCAAACCGTGAGAAGAGCTAAAAGAGAAAACTAGAGGGTTCCATTAGAGAATGTCACCGGGATGGATGCCGACTGGGGGAGTCAAGGAGACCTCTCTGAGGAGGGCTTCTGAGCCAAGCAGGAAGGATGAGTGCTAGCCCCGTGAGGAAAGGAGGGAGGTGGGGGGACAGCCTGTCAGAGCCTGAGGCCAGACAGAGCCCACCTGCTCTAGGACTAGAGGGTCGGTGTGTCTGACAACAGAGAGCAGGGGAGAGAGTGAGCAGAGTGCAGGGGAGAGTGAGCAGAGCTGGAGGGAGAGGAGCAGAAAGCAGAGGAGAGGGTGTGGCACAGGCACATGGTGAAGGCAGCCGGCCTCACACACTGGGGACTCCGTTCAGGAGCTTACTCTAAGCACATCCCAAAACCTCAGGGTGGTTCTAAGCATGGTTAGTGGGAGCAGGAAGGAGACTATGATCTGACTGGCGATTTAGAAGGATCCCCCTGGAGAGAAGACTAGAAGGAGGAGAAGGAGGCCAGGGTGGGAATGGGGAGGTGAGCTGGAAGGCCACTGCAGAGCCCAGGCTGGAGGGGCATTCCCAGGAGGGCGGCTGACAGCGCCCTGCGTGGGGGCATCCTGAGCAGCTCCTGACCCTCAGAGCCGGGTAGTGGGGGTCCCTGGCCTCAGGGTGTGTGGGAGGTGGGTGGGCAGGGCCCAGGGCTCACCTCGGGAGGATGCTGCCAAGCCCTCCGAGAGCCTTCTTTTCTTGAGCTTGTCCTTGATCTGGGTGGTGTCCCGAGCCACACTGTTGGCCTCACCTTCCAGAGAGGAGAAGGGTGCCAGGTGGTTGGACCCCAGAGACAGGGCTGCAAGGCCCCTGGGGTGGCCATTCCTGGCCTGCCAGCCTTTCAGGGGGGCATCCAGCTTGAGGCTGCGGGGGTCCCCTTGTCCAGGCAACAGCTGCAGTGGCTTCTCTAGCAGGACACTCGGAGTTGGCCGGAGGGAGGCTGAGGGAGACAGAGGCGAAAGTGGCTAGGCACCCAGAACCCTCGGTGGCACCAGGCCCCAGCGAACTCTCCGGTGCTGCTTCCTTAGAACAGTCGGGCCTTGCCCCACGAATCCTGGTCATTCGATGTTACCATCGATCTTGGGTCAATCCATTCATTCAACAGTCTCTGGGAAGCCTGACCTTAACAAGGTGTGTCCTGAGCTACTCAAGGGAAGAAAATGGGAGTCGATATGCAGCCCTATGACAGCACAGACATGAGCCGTAAATCCTCAGGGAAGGTCTTCTGCCCAGGGACCACCATCCAGCCACCTCCAGGGTCCCAACCAATCCATTCAACATACCTGACAAGACCAAATGCAGATTGAAAAGAGAAGTTGAGGTGACTCAATCATGCTTCCACTCGGACACCAGCTTATCCAATCGCACATTCAATAAACATTCAGAGAGCATCACCTCTGTGCCCAGCACTGTCCAGGCAGTGGAGACCCAGAGATGGGTGAGACACAGTCTTTACCAAGAAAGGACTTTCAATCTACTACAGAAAAAGATTCATCTCTCAATGGGTTCATTACAAGGTCAACTGGGAGATACGCCCTGAGAGAGATGCCAACAAAATGTTTTGTGCACATAGAGGAGGAAGAGAAGGATCTGGAAGGCCTTCATGAAGTGGTGGTGTTTGAACTGGTCCTTGAAGGAGTCTAGACTGTGGGAGGGCCAGGGAAAACAAATACAGAGACCAGCTTTTAGAATCTGCCACACACACAGCGTTTTTGGAGGGCCTTGACCTAAGCCATGTGACCCACAAAGGAGGCCACAGATCCTGGGTGGCACCAGGCCCGGCAAAAGCTGACCTAGGTGCTGGCCACAGGCCTATAAGGGGAGTAGCCAGAAGAGGGCAAGGAGCTAGAACAATCATATTCTCCCTCGAGAACACGGGAACCGGGGTTCTGCAGAGAAGAGGGTCTGTAGCTGGAAGTCAGAGCGGAAAGTAGAAGCTGAATGGCTGGCTTGCAATTCACCACACCAGCAGCTGTCCCACTACAGGTGTCCCTGCCCCCACCACCGCCCTGGCTGCTGAAGGCCCACCCAGACGCCCAAGCGAGGGACAGCAGACCCCATCTTCATGGGGGCCTTCCCTGGGTTCTGATGAGAGCGAGGGGCGTGCTGGGATCCCCACTTCCTTGTTCCTGGGGCTCTTCCTCTGTGTACCTCCATCCCCTGATGGAACTGAAAGGAACCACCTAAAACCAAAAGGGATTTCAGCAGCAGACTGCAGTAAAAATAGCATGTGCCCTAGCTGGACCGCACAGCCAGGCTTCTAGAACAACTCACATCCTCTCTCCAGGAGGGAGCCCCAGGTCTGCTCTCTGGTCCCTGGCCCCAATTGGGCAGCTGCCGGCGGAACCCTGATTCTCTGCCCCCAGTCCCCAGGGAGGCCACCAAGGACACTGGAAGGCCATTTGGTGTGACCAAGTCAGCAGGCCAAGTCCCACCCACCTCACCTTCTCCATAAGTCTGCAGCCTGGAGTCACTTCTTCCTCCCGGGACTGCGCGGGGCCCCGTACTGGTCCGAGGGACACTCCCACAGTATACGGCCACTGGAGCCAGAACCTTGGCTGGGGACAGAAGCACCGGAAGCCCACTGAGACCAGGACTAGGGAATAGGCTGCCCCAGTACTCTTCCCCTTGGGGGTCTCTGTAGCCCACCCCCAAACCAGAGCCCAGCTCATGGATGGGGGCCCACCACCCCACAGCCCAGCCAGTCAGGGCACCACAATCCCCACCAAGGCCCACCACCCCGCTCTTCTCAGCCCTCTCGGCCTGGCTTCCCACTTCTCCCCACACTCACCTGCCTTTTCCATCCGGCTTTTCTCCAGGCGCCCCCACCCCCACCTGGCCACCTCTTCTTAGCCTCCTTCATGGGCTCCCCTCCTCCACACACACCCCCTCACCCTGCTTCTGTCCTCTGCTCATCTCACGGGCTGCTTCTCACTGCCATGCCTTTCATTGTCACCCTCATGCAGTAACCCCCTGACCTGTGGCTTTGGCCCTGACCTCGCCCCACGGCCACAGAGCAGAGCATCCAATTACTGGCCCAACAACCCTCTCCTGGGAGTCCTCTAGCCCCTCATCAGCGTGACCCTCACTGAACCTTCACCTTGTCCTAAACCTCCCTGGCTCAGCACATCAATTTGATTGATCCCTACCCTGGATATTTACCAAAGGCTTCCTGTCAGAGACTCGGCCTCCCAGCCCCTGATGAGACCCAGAAGGTTAGTGTGGGGAGACGATGAATAACAAGCAGTGACATTGTGAGGAGCTCAGGGGGAGGGTGGCTCGGGGGAGGGGCCCTGAGCCGGGGGAAGTGGGAGGGGGAGCTTCAGCAAAGCACCTGCTGTTTTGAGAAGCCTTGCCTCTCCTCTGTGCCCCCACAGCAGCCCAAGCATACCCCATCTTACCCTCCCCTCTCCTGGCCTCTTCCCTCCTTGCCCTGCCCCATCCTGGCACAGGGACCTCATCCCATCCATTTTTGCAGGACCTGTACTCGGGGGGCACTTTAGTATTAGTATTATCCCCATCCAAAGCACAGCTCAGGACTATGCACAGGGACCCGCCCCACCACCTGGAGAAGCCTCCACCTGGACCCAGCACGCCCACTCCCAGGGTAGAAGGTCCCCAGACAGGAGGCAAAAAGGAGTCTGTTCCCTTCCTGTTTCTATCAGCTGTGTGACCCTGAGGAAGTAAGTTAGCCTCTCTGAGTCTCGGTTCCCAGGTCAGTAAAACAAAGGAATTGGACAGGATTAGGGGTTCATACGGTCATACCTTCATCCTATTTCTAGACTTTTAGGTTTTTCTTAAGCTTTCAGTACTTCCCACTTCCCTGTAAGAATCTAATGCCCGGCAGGAACCTGATGTGGCATTAAATTACACAACTGTCCTCACATTAATATGGCAAAGCCCCAGGTGCTCTGTCCCTAGGTGATGACCCATGTCTGGATCTACTCTGGTCCCAGGGCCCCGGCTCCAGCCCCGCCAGGGAAAAGCAGGTCTCCACCTCACCAGCACCCCCTCCATCTGTGGCAGGGCCTGTGGATCCCCTCACTTGCCAGAGGAAACTGAAGTTCACACAGTTGGTCCCAGAGCAGAGCATCAGGCCTGGAACTCCATCTCCTGACCCTGAGCTAGCCACACTGTTCCTCTTCTCCTGCCCCATCCGCTGAGGAGACAGAGACACCCAGCTGTCCCTGAGGGCCCAGCCCTTTGTCCTCTGACTACAAAACAGGCCAGCTTCTCGGCCGGCCCACCAGCACAGAGAGTGGAGGCAATGCTCCACTGAGTTTCTAGAACACTCTGAGCCTTTCCCTGGGCCCGGGAGCCCCCAGACAAGAAGCTGAGCATGGAGGGCCAGCATCAGCCAGCAGAGATCTGGACCAGGGCAGAAAGGCCTTGTCACCTGCCTGGCTCCATCTCCCAGGATGAGGGCAGCCCCTTACCTGGGGGGACAGCATCATGGGTGCTCATGCCCTGGGTGGGAAAGGAGCCTGAGAGGTTGTCCAGAGGCAGCAGCTACTTCCTGGGCCGTAAGCACAGTCCTTGGGGATCCAGAAGGCGGCAGCCCGTATCATCCACGGTCCTACGGTGGGGAGCGGCAGAGGGATGTCAGTACAAGTAAATGGCTTTGCAGGAAGCCCATCAGGAGCCCAGGTATTCTTGGAGTGAGGAAATCTGCTGCTGGACCAAAGGACATCTCTTTTCTGACATTCTGCCTCTCTGAGACGCTTGAAGCCTTCCGGGTGCCAAGCCTGCACCACGGTGGGCAGAGAAATTTGTGAAGACCGTCACCGAACCCACGAAGCTGACTTCTCTTGTGGCTTTGACAAGGACACCTTAGGGTCTCTGGGGAAGGTGGAATTTATCGAGGCGGAGTCTGACGGCTTCTTTCCCCATGAGTTTCTATTTTCTTCAAAACCCCATTTTCTCTGCCCACTGGCCCAGAAGCTCTTGAAGAATGTCAAGCTTTGTGACTCTGCTTCTCACTCGGGTAGGTGGCAGGGTCTCCCCAGAAACCAGCTCTCCAGTTTCCTCTCAGGATGTGCCAGGCTCTATCCACACACCGTGCTTGGCCTGCACTCCCCCCGTCAGAGAGTCATTTCATTGTCCTGTGGTGAGCTACGGGACCACATCAAGCCTCGTCCTGGTCTCCCTTAAACCTCTAGGCTCAGTCATCAGCTCTTGCTCAGGACCTAACTTCTCTTTCCATGTGACAAGTGTCTCACCCAGACTCTGCGACCTCACACAGTTTTAGAGTCTTTGCCAGGATAAAGGTGAACCATTTTCACCCTGACAGTGAGGTGGATGGCCAGAGCCCATCGGTGACAAAATCAGGGATAAAGGCCACATCTCCCAACCTCTACTCTGGCGTAGCTCCCTCAAGATATCATCTGGGGACAGGGCAAGACGAAGTGCCAACTTCCTTGTGCTGAGCACCAAATCCCAACTCAGAAACTGAGAAAACCTGCCTTCCATCTGGAAGGCAGCCTGCCACCGTCCCCACCCTGGCCCCAGAAGGCAGAGCAGCTCCTAGCAACACTCCTGGCCCCCACAGAGGTTCCCGCCCAGCCTCCACCCGGTCTCTCTGCTTACATCCTCAAGCACTCGGGTTCTCTGTCCAAAGAGAATTTTCCTCACAACTCCCTGTGTGCTGACTACTAGGATAAGTATTTGGCCACAGGGGAATGTCAGTGAGACACAGCACTTCTCCTGAGCAAGGCGGCAGAAGATGACTCCACAGGTCTTAACACCCCATCCCAAGCTCCAGTGAGCCGGCAAAGAGACTCAAGAGATTGGCAAGGCTGCTGCTTCTGGCAAAGCCCAGCACGAATGTTCCAGGTGGGGACAGGCCACCCACAGCTGAATTAAGGCAAACAAACTGGAGTCTAGGCTTTGTAGACAGTGAGAGCCGTAGGCTCCACAGACTCCTGCTACCACAGCTAACCAGAGCATCGATTTTCTATGCGAATTATAGACAGAGAAGGATGGTTAGCCAGAGCCCTTCTTGAGAACCCTTCTTGAGAATCGTTCTCGACTGTGGCTGCGGATCAGAACCACCCGGGAACTGATAAAAATGGCAGATTGCAAGGCCCCACCTCTGGCCCCTACTGAATTAGAGTCTTCTAGGAAGCAGGCCATGGGGATCTTTTTTGTTTCTTTTTCTTAACTCCTGTGTGATTTCAGTGTTCAAAAAGGACTGAGAACCAATGGGTTACAGTTCAGGTTCACTTTCTAATGAGATCTCAGCCTTGCTTCTCACCTTTCACTGTCAAAGTAGTTATTGCTGCCTCAGTTTCCCCAAAGTGATTGCTTTTTAGGAGGCTAAAGAGAAGATTTGGAGCTGCCTGAGAGTACAGATGACATAAGTCTCAGTGGCCAGCTCTACTGGAAAGGGTCTTCTGAATAAGACAGCCCCCTCCCCATTTGCCACAAGCTCTTCAGCAGGTCAAATGGCAGAATAGCCACTGGTCAAGACAGCCGATGTGACTCCATGCCCTGGGGACACCCACTGTACAGAAAAGAGACCCTCATCCATGTCACAGCTTGCCAGGGCAACCCAGCAGGCAGACCCCCTCTTGGGCCTGCTCCTGACTGTGTCAACACTTCTGACCCCTTAGGCCCTCAGGGTCTGCGTGCAGGAGTTCCTGGGAACCTGCCCCAGGGGAGGCGGCCACAGCTGCATATGGACCAACAACCACGTCTTATATTGTATGTGAGAACCATGGGCAGCACCTCCCCAGGGAGATCCCGGGGGCCCATGACCTGGTAGGAACTTAAAAATCCATGTACAAACTCTAAAAATCAAGATCAGAAATTCCAGCCCCAATGCAGATAGAACTTTGAGGTTTAGCATCAATCGGACTTAGCACCCGACGTCCAAGACACAATCCATTGAGCCCCCATTTGCACCTGGCCCTTTTCTGTTCTAGGCATGGAGGTGTGACTGTCCCCTATTGGAACAGCCTACCCCTGACCGAAAGGGCTGGGGACCAGGATTGTGTCCTCTTTCCCTGAGGCACTGCCCAAGGTAGCTGGCTCCCCCACCCTTGGCCTTGGTTTTCCAGCTTTGGGAGTGGAGTGGCCCAAGCTAACTGACCGCTGTCCACCCACCCCTTTCACTAAAGCTACGGCTACAGAGGCTCCATGGTGACTGGCACCACAGGAATGGGAAAGGTGACGGAAGGGACTCAGGTTTCAAGTGGAAAGGACACAAAACTAGAACTGGCCCCATAAAGGACGTCAGCCCCAGGGACAAGATCCCAGTCACCCTGTGCCTGCAGAGAGGCCTTGGAGGGGACAGGCCCCTGATCCCAAGATGCATCCTCACCTGCCCCCCTCCCAGGGGCTGCCACACGTGCAGCTCCCCTCGTGTGACCGTGACACTACCCATTCCTCCTTTTAGAGGCCTCTGAGGACATGGGTTCCAAGAAGTCAGAGTTCACGCCTCCTCAGACCCACTGAGTGGGAACAGAGGTGCGATGTCAAGGTGGGTAGAGAAGGGGACTAGGGCAAAGATGGTAGAGTGGAGAAACCTAGGTTTTGAACCCCAAAATGTCCCCGACTGAAACCTTCTCTGAAGAGAGGTTTCAGATAGGCACCGCTCCCACTTGCCCCTCTCATATTAACTTTAATTCCTCTGAGCTTTGGTTTCTTCATCTGAAAAAAAAAAAAGAAAAGAAAAAGAAAAAAAAAAAGTCCTACCAAAGGGTTTGGTCAAGATGAAGTGAAGTCATGTGCAAAAATGTCAGCACCTTTGCTGGTAGACAGTCAATAGATCACGTAAGAACTCTTCCTCTCCCTGTCCCCACCCAAGCGCCATCTTTAAAGTTCTGATGGGCCAGAGCCCTCCGTCCCTATGAGACAGACCCGGGTGACACGGGTGCCCCTCACGTGGGAGAGACAGACGTGTCTGCAGAGTGAGAGGCCCAAACGGGCGGGGCGGGCCCTCCTGCAGCTCTCACCCGGGATGCTGTGCTGTGAAGCGAACGCCAGGCTGAGCGCAGAGGGCCCCGGGCGGAGATGGACACACGCGGGACCCGCAGTGCTGTCTGACTAGGCGCCTGGAGACGCTCCACAGGAGAGCGGCATCCTCGCTGGGCCCGGAGGGAAGCGGGGTCTAGATGGGGAAGGAAACGGGAAAGGCCTCGCAGGCTGAGGAAACAGGGTGCGCAGAGACGCGGAAGAACAAACAGGCTGTGAGGTTGGGGTTTGGCCGGAGGCCCCGAGGCTGAGACGGCGGAGAGCCGGTGTGGGGAGGGAAGGCAACTCTAAAGACTTTTTGAGGAAAGAAATAACATTATCTGACCCCTGGGGCTGGTAGCCCTAGGAGCTGTCCCCACCCAAACCAGGAGACTGATCCCCACACCCACCAGACGCCCCCAGAAGAGGCACCCAAGGCTCCCCACTCAGGCTCCTGGCTGCGTAGGTGACTGACAGGCAGGCTGGTTGGCCTGACGACTGCTCACGGAAGACTTGCCCCGCCCACCATAAACCCCCCCTTTGGGGGGCGGGGCCTTCACCCCCTCTGGAGCCACACCCACTGCTGCAGATGCCACCTCCCTGCCGTAATGGGGTCAGGTGGGGTCAATGTCCCTGGAACCGTCTGGGTTCCAGACAGCAAGACGTGCATCTGCTAGCAGGCCCCTGGGACGGTAAAGAAACCCAGAGTACCAAACATGGGGCCCCGCACCTAGTAGGAGCTCCATGGCAGCGTGCATGAATGTAAAAAACAAAATCGTAGCCCATCTTGCAGTCTTGTTGAGAAGAAACAAGGCAATGAGACTAACATTTCTTAGTTTCATGCCGTTTAGCTTTTGAAATAGAGCAACAAGGCACATGTTATTGTCCTCCTGTTGTGCCTAAGAAGACTGAGGCTCAGAGAGGCTAGGTAGCTGGATGGAGGCCACAGAGCAGGCCAGCGGAGGCTTCTGGTCTGGCGTGCCCTGATGCTGCTGGAAGCAGAAGAATGCGGTACTACATAGCCAGCAACAGCCCCGCGTTCAAGTCCATCCACCTACCAGCTAGGAGACTTCCCACGGGGTGCGGTACTAAACCTCTCTGAGCTTCCGTTTAACTGCAAAAGGGAAAGAAGAATGTCTTTCTCACGAGGTTACTGAGCATATTCAATAAAATATGAAAAGCATCTCAAATCGTCTGGCCCCTAAGCAAGAATTCAACAAACAGGAGCTATTAACATTATTCTTTAATAATGATCTTAGCGTGTGTGTTAAGATGGGCAAGAAGAAGGAAAGTGTCCTTTTTGAAAGCTTTTGGGGCAAGAAGCTCTAGAGGCCTGACCAAGGCTGGGTGGCAAAAGGAGGTGCCCTCTGGCCGATGACCTTCAATGCGGAAGTTTCCGGGGTGAGCAGGAGGCAGCAGACAGGCTGGGGCAGGACCCTTAGAAGAGCAGCTCAAGTATCACCTTGCTGGGAAATGCTCCAAGTGATCCCTTCTTACCAGAACTGGCAGAGTCTGTTAAGAAGGCAGTTAGTGCCTGCATCTTAATGACTTTCTGGGACAGGGTGGATCTCATGGTCAAGAGCCCAAAGCGGAACTTCTCAACCCTTTTCATTTCCAACACAGCTGAGGAAGGTTTCCATTTGCAATAGTTCAGTGTGGGTGTTGGTTGAGGAGAGCAGGTATAGAGAGAGGAAGGAGAGAGCTGCCTCTATGTCTAGGGCTGTGACATTCAAAACAGCCCCCCTACCTGCCAGGAATTCTGATATGAGACATGGGAAGGCCTATGGTTGAGAAAAAGTCTTATTTAAGCTCTGTTTGGAAAACGATGACCATAAGTGACCAGCACAGCCACCCTGTGTGATTGCTTAGGTTGGGCACTGCACAAGGCCTTGTAATTAAGGAGACAACATTCACACTGCAGGCACTACAGATTTGCATTTTTATTGCCCTTCTCTAATGAACAGAAGTAAAGTGCCTTGATAAAAAGGTGTCTTTTTCTAACTCACACAGAGGCACTGGATGAGCCCTAGTGAAAAGGGTATGTGACATACCCATAAATTTCCAAAATTCAAAATCCTCTGAGCCTGCCCTACTTTTGTGTATCATCTTGGTGCAAATATAAATTAGAAGTCAGAATATGTGCTAGTAACTCAACAAAGCTTCACATGGTGGGGACAAGAGACACCTTCATCTATTCCCTCTGTCACTGAATTTTCAGCTGTAAGAGACCCCAAAGGTCAGCTAGTCTCCTGGCTGGTAACTGAGGGGTTAATGTGGGGCCTGGAGAGGCTACAGGACATACCCAGGGCCTTCAAGAGCCAAAGGGTACTGTGGGGACAAGGTCCTCAGCTCCCTCCTTCCCCTTCCCATTAAGGTTTCCCCCAAATGGTCACCTCAGCACTGGGCGGGGCAGTGCCTCAGACTGCCAGGCCTGGTCAGAGCCATGACAATGCGTTTCTGAGGACGTCGTTTCTTGGTGGGGCTGGGCGCCATTGTGTCAATCCTGCCTGAAATCACACAGCACTGGCTGGCACTTGGAAACCTTCTGCCCATCCCCCCTGACATTTTCACCATCAAGGGCTGACTTGTCTAAGATCTTGAGTCTAGTCCTGGAGTCTGACACAGAGAGGCCTGGTCCACAGCCCCATGAAAGATTTCTGCATGGTTTCCCCGCTCGGGGACCCTCACCCAAGGAGCTGGAGCTCCGGTCATCAAACTGCACTCTGGGAGCAATTTACAGGTGCGACAGGACCAGAGGGGCTGAAAAGAAAGAAACAGCCCTTCCAATCAACATCTCAGGAAACTTGTGGTGGCGGCCCCTGGCATCTAAATGCCTGTCCCGTTCCAGGAAATGGCTCTTGACAAAGGTTTCCCTGTAAGAAGCTCAGCAGACTTCAGACCACTAGCTCTGTCCTTTTCCAATGGCCCCAGGAGAAAACTGACTCTGCTTGACCAAAAGCTAGAATCTTCCATGGGCTTCTCCAGGACATATGCCAGGTTTTGCCCAGAAAATGGAAAGGGCTTCTGTGGAGGGTCATTTCTTCTGTCCTTATTTTATTGAAGGGAAAGCCAAGACCCAGGAGGGGATGCAAGGAGAGCCCAAATCCAGAGGTTTTAACGCATAGACACATGGGAAGCTCAGACCTCTGGAGAGCTGCTCTGGAGCCCAGGACTGCTGCTCCAAGATCAATGACAGAGGAATCATGTGGATGAGTGACTGTCCCCTAAGAAAGAGAATGGGGCCTAGGGACAGAGGAGCCTGGAGGGCAGAGAGGAACATGGAGGTTGGGAAACAGCATGATGAGGGGGCTGAGCCAGGAAACCAGGGGAAAGGGGCTTCCCCAAGGAGGAAAGCCAGGAGGAAGAAAGGCAACGCAGGCCCTGACCCCGTGCTGATCAGAGAAATGCTAATTAGACCACTGTCACCAGTCTGTGAAGATTGCCAAAAATGAAGACTCTGGACAATACCAAGTATCAGAGAGACGCGATGCAGGGCTGGTGAGGGGGACGTGGGCAAGGCCACAGGGGAGAGTGTTCTGGCTCATCTACTAAAGTTAAAGATATGCAAGCCCTATACCCAGCAAGACCACCTCTAGGGGTCTACCTTCGAGAAAACTTTGCATGTTGTGAACCAAGACAGAAGTACGAGAGCGTTCATAGCAGCCCTGTTGGCAATGGCCCAAATCTGGAAATAACCCAAACACCCAACAGGAACCTGGAGAAAACGTTACAAGTATTCATGCCACAGAATATTCCATGGCAATGAAAATGAGCAAAGCTACTCAACACCACTCTGCTCAGCACCGTGCGCAATGTTTAGTGACAGACGCTAGGCACGAAAGAGACCAGAGGCTGCCGTTCTGTTTGTGTGCATTTCAAAGACGAAATTCAACAGCTTAGACATACACACAAAGATGGTAAGACTTTATGGAAAAGCCAGGGGAAATGAGGAGTGTGGTCAACCCTGGGGGGCAAGGAGGCAGCTGTGATAGGAAGGGGCCTGTGGAGGAGGCATTGGGGGCTGCCCTAGAGAGCGTCTCTTTCCTGCCCTGGACAGTGGTGGCTACACATTAATTCTACTTTAAATGGTTGGTGAGTTTTATACATTTTTCTGTCGGCAAGAGGTTGAATATAAAACAAGCAATAAACTTCTCATCATGCCGGTGAGCAGAGTCAGGTGCCTGTGAGGTGGCATTGGGGCAACAGGTGACCTTGGCTGACCTTGATGCTCCTGAGCTCAGCCTGATACCTCCCCGTCATTTGCTTCCATGACCTTCCCCCTCCTTCATATCAGCCAGGCCAAGGCTGCAGGGGCTGAGTTGGCCCACCTGCAGTTGGAAAGGACCTGTCCGCCTACACCCCTGCATGGCCCGCCTCAGTGGGGCTGGGCACCACTGTGCTCCATGACCCTCTGCAGCCATGGACAAACCCCCACCCCCCACCCCCAGCACAGGCCCTACAGTCCCTTCTGGGGCTCTAGAGGGAACACCCAGCCCTTCAAGGTCCCTAGCCAAAGTAAGCCCTTGTCCTGGAGAAGTGGTTCACAAAACCTCTTGTTTGGGGAGCCCCAGATCTGCTCTGGAAAGGAACACAATCACCTCTGCTGTAATAATAATGGCACCACGAAAAGTAACTTCCGTTGAGTACGGGGCCCAACACACTTCTCTCTCTCCTTACCATCTTCACCTTTCACGAGCAGTCCCAAGGGAAATGTCACTTAACCCCCACTTTACAGACAAGGAAACTGAGGCTCAGAATGAAAAGGGCCTAAGTCCGCACACCTAGAGAAAGGTGGAGCCCGAATTCAAACCCGGACCCAGGAGAGCCGGTAGTGGGAGCAGCTAGGCCTTGCAGCAGGCAGAACTGGCTTTGAATCCTGCTTCTTCCAGCCTGTCCAAGGCCTGCGCCCCAGCGCCCCTAACACAGAGCCTTCCTTATTTCTCTGGCACCATCACCCTCAGCACCCCAGGGAGTGGAGCTTACCCCCAAACAGGGAGCTCTGCTGGAGGCCATGGCCAGGAGGAGAGGGAAGCCCCCTTCCATAGCTCATAGGCTCAGAGAGCAACAGGCTCCCGAGAGAGGAAGGGACGGCTCCACAGTCCCACGGCCTCCTCCCTCGGAGCCCTGTGTCCTTGCTCCAGATCAGCTCTTCCACAC